CTGTATAGGACTTAATCAGCGGGTATTATTGTTGTAGTGTATAGACATAGATCATAGGCAATGTGTACTGCTTACCTTGATTATGTTATTGCTTGGCTGCCTATTACATCATGTCAGTCCAAACTATTTGTTAACTTGACAGTAAAAAATGAAAAGTTATGAACAATCATTAATAAGTATTTCTCTGTAATTTTTGTTGAAGTCATTTACCTAAACAAAAATTTCAGAACATGTCATGTAAGTTTTAGTTTTCATTTTAAAAAACAATTATCAAAACTTTCACATTATTCTTATTGTGAAGCTGACAAACCATGGCACACTGTTCACAACAGGGGCAGTACTTTATCCTTGTAATTGGTGACCCAATTAATTGATATACCATTATCTTTTGTGAAATGTAGTATTTATACAAACTATTACACAACCACATTCAGGAGATGAATGAATTAATTTACATGTACTTGACTTTGTACCAGGTATTCTTATGTTTTTTATCCAAAAGACATTCCAGAAATATTTGGTAAACAGAGACAGATATTTTTTGTGATATAAAATGATAATGAAGACCGTTCCTTATACATTAAAGAGATGGAAACATTGAGATAATTGGCATATTTTGTCACAGAAGTGACTATCAAAGATATCATTTTTAAGCTTAAAAGAAGGAAAAAAGAACAAAAATCTTCATTGAAAGCTTCCTTGGTTTAAAACCACAAGCTATAAACTGACTAAAAACAAAAAGAATTTGTTCTAATTTGATGTCGGGATTCAACAGAAACAAAAAATAAGTCCTTTGTGAACCCGACTGATAATACTCACTGATGGCTTACTCACTGTTGGTACTCATTAATTATACCTACTTATGAGGTTCACACTGTTTGTACTTACTAATGGGGTTTCCACTGTTTGTACTTACTAATGGGGTTCCCACTGATGGTACCTACTAATGGGGTTCCCACTGTTTGTACTTACTGATGGGGTTCCTACTGTTTGTACTTACTGATGGGGTTCCCACTGTTTGTACTTACTGATGGGGTTCCCACTGTTTGTACTTACTAATGGGGTTCCCACTGATGGTACCTACTAATGGGGTTCCCACTGTTTGTACTTACTGATGGGGTTCCTACTGTTTGTACTTACTGATGGGGTTCCCACTGTTTGTACTTACTGATGGGGTTCCCACTGTTTGTACTTACTGATGGGGTTCCCACTGTTTGTACCTACTAATGGGGTTCCTACTGTTTGTACTTACTGATGGGGTTCCCACTGTTTGTACCTACTAATGGGGTTCCCACTGTTTGTACTTACTGATGGGGTTCCCACTGTTTGTACCTACTAATGGGGTTCCTACTGTTTGTACTTACTGATGGGGTTCCCACTGTTTGTACTTACTGATGGGGTTCCCACTGTTTGTACTTACTGATGGGGTTCCCACTGTTTGTACTTACTGATGGGGTTCCCACTGTTTGTACTTACTAATGGGGTTCCCACTGTGTGTACTAATTAATGGGGTTCCCACTGTTTGTACTTACAAATGGGGTTCCCACTGTGTGTACTAATTAATGGGGTTCCCACTGTTTGTACCTACTGATGGTTTACCCACTTTTGGTACCTACTAATGGCATACCCACTGTTGGTATCTACTAATTTAGTACCTACTAATGGTACTTACAAATGATGTACTCACTGTTTGTACCCACTCATGGAGGGAGAGGGGAGGGGGGAGGGGGGTGGTTGGAAGTATGGATGAGTGGTTGTGTGGAAGGTGTTGTAATTGAAAGTTACAGCTACTGCAATACATGTTGATAGTACCACTGGATCTGTATCATTTCAAAAGAAAATGGTTTGTTATTTAGCACATGGATAATTCAAGGTTTTAAGAGTAAAAATGTTGATTAATATCAACGTTATTCAATTGAGTTATTGTAAAATAAGAAAACCACAACCAAACTTGAAATCTCAAATTTAAAACAGAATGAAAGCAGGTTTATCAAGATCTGGGCTTTCTGACATATCTGTTTTTGTTTGTATTCTGACCTCATTTTAATAAACATGCTTGTGTACAGAATGGATGTCCTGTGTTACGATATGACATCTGCTGGCTTTCTGACAAGTTGACGTGTTACTTGTACAATTTAACAGAGACAAATTGTTTTGTCTTTTCTTTCTATATACTAAGTTTTTCTTTATGAAATATGCACTCAATATCCTTACAACGAAAAAAATATTCACAGATATTTGGAATATATAGGCTGGTTTGTGCACATAGGAATTTGTACTAATATGTGTGAAAAAATGGTCATTCTCAGATTTTAGAGTTTTACAATTACAGTTAGTGTTTTGAATATGTATAAACTATAAGTGTATTTTGTTAATGATCATATCCATCATTTATTTGTAACAAAAACATGTTTTTTCTTCAGAAAAGAATGTTGATAAGGTAATGAAATGAACTATGGATAGTACTGTGTATTTGAGATACAAGTAGGTGTAGTAGTTATCATTGTTTCTAAAATGTGTTTGTGTATATCTCATTTATACAAAGGCAGGTGTTTTTCTTCTCGTTTACTTCGGTCTAGGTGTAAAGCAACTTTTTATTTATCCCAGAGATGCCATTTTTCTGTGGAGAATTCTGGAATGTTTTGTCGTTGTAATGACTACAAGCCAAAGTATGGTCAGACTTACAATGATTATAGACCTCTCTTACTACTGTGATAGGCATGTTAAGAATAAGATTTTTACTAATGAAAAGGTGTATTTCAACTTAACATAAAACTAAATCAAATGATATGCATGTGAAAAGCAGACCTGTAATATCAACAGTATTTTAATTGAGACTTAAATTCAATGAAGCTTGGGCAGAAAGAGAAATTTAAGATAGGACACCAGAAAAAGTACAAGAATAAAACCAGGAGTTTTTTGAAAGGAAAAATGTCTTCTACTACTTTGAGAACACTGGCATGTAAGCCATGATCCATTCAATTAAGTAAGATCACATCTTGAAATAGAACAAATAAAAAAAGGTCGTGACACAGGTCACACCCTCCAATAGGAAGTTTCGCTTTAAATGACTTAGCCGAATTATATATATTCAAATCTCTACTTTTCACTTGAATTTTGTCGATGTCTTGTCTTTTGTTGTATCTTAATCTCCGCGAGAGGGAAATAAAGAATGATGATGGTGAATTGCAAAATGACCAGGATACTAACAAGTAATGATCAAAGATATGGATTTCCTAAAAGATACAATAACATTGAAATTTTTTTAAATCGGACTAATTCGGAATTTTTATTTATTGTTGTCAAGTCTCAACTTATATTAGTTTCATATAATCATATTTTTATAGACGAGTATGTCAGGGACACATATGAATTTTTATAGTAGCCCTCCCTGTACCCCCTACCTCTGTATGGAAACAACTTATATTCTGACCTTAATTTGTTAAAAATTGTCTCCAAGTAAAATAAAAATTGTAGGGTGGTTTTCAGAGATTAGAAGTCTTAGCACTTTAATAGATTCTCACAACATTAGGAGTGATGAGTGGAATTTATACATTTCATTGGATTAACTGTGTAGTTCGTGTCAAATATTAAACAAATAACTCTAAGTCTCATGCAATTTCCAGTGTAGATTTTGTACAATTTATGTGAAAAGAAAATTGTAGCAGTTTGCCACATTTCCACAGATGAGTTACATTAGAAGACAATACCTCCCTTTATAATATCATTCCTCTCTCTGGAACATCTCCAACTTTTCTCACTTGCCGGAATTGAAGTGTGATCCAGGTTTTTTGTATAAGATAAACTTTGGGTTGGAATATTTCCTAATCACATTAAATGTTAGTAATGATGCCTCTCATTGGTTTCTTTACTTCTATTCATGTCTCTTCTACTTAGGCCACCTGGACTTTGTCATAACGCAACCAAACTCCCTAAGTTGTGTAATGAATTTTGAGAGCTATTTGAATGACGTGCATTAGCAGTAGATGTATGAATTATTCTGTAGGTGTTGTGTTGTCAAAGTGCCATCAAACTTTCAGTCAAATAGCATTTGTTCGCATTTTGTTTAACAGAAAGCTGGATTTTCAACTTTAATACCTCACTAGATTCAGGCTTTTTTTAAAAACCTAATTTACAGTTTAAAATTAAAAATTTTAATAAATTTTACAAGCACCATAAAAAATCTTGCTCCCGATATATTTCTATAGTGAAAGTTGTTGTAAGATTTGTTTTCTGATGTGGACTTATTAGTGGTATAGTTTAATACATGTTGTGTATGTTGATAGGGTCATTGTTGACTATTGATCAGGCTGTTTAACCTGCAGTATATATACTAATTATCCCTCAGGGAAATACATGTACATTAAATGCTATTAATCCTGGCAGTGGACGGAATCTTTGATCGAGAATTCAGTTTAGGAGCTGTAGAAATCCACAAGAGGGTACATTTACACATTAATATTGCTGAAATTATCCCTATATATTAAAAGATTGTGTCTCATTAAGGTATCACAGTATACTTAAGTACTGACAAGTTATTTTACTGTTAAATTGCTATACATTTTTACATGTGTTTGTAAAATCGTCAGCTTTCCTGGGGGATTGATTTTTGCTGGTTTGGGGATACTCTTAATCCTTAACTTATGTCAAGGAACTGTCATGATTTGTATAAGTACATCTATAGAGCTATATTTAATTCACTGATCAAATGTTCATGACAAAGTAATTTTTTTGTAAAACTACAAGAAAATGAACTCCATGAAAATGTATGGTTTAAGAATTGTTTAATTGCACTGCGAGGTGTATTATATGAGAGCAGTTGGCTTAAATGAGAGCAGTTGGCATATTGTCTAAGATTTTTTTATTTATTTATATTCAAGAGATGTATGAATCTAAATCCTTTGACAGAACTGTTTTTTGAGAAATAAATACATATGTCATGGACCTATATATAACTACAAATGAGAACACAAATCTTTACCAATCTGTTTTACTTGCAGACAAATCATGGTGTGTCAAGCTCCGCAAAGGATTCCAAAGAAAACATTTCCCGCGACAGCCATGGTGATAAAGACAATAGGAAAGCCACGAGTAAAGTGCGTGACAAAGAAAACAAAGAGTTGTCTCCCCCAATGTCCACTGCTGCCCCCACAATCACAACCCTGTCTGACAAGGATGGTAAAGGCAAGAGGAAGGAGAAGACACGACAGCTTAATGTGAACATCCCTAAGTTCTACTTTCCTCTGGGACAGCCTGGTGTCGGGGATGGGGACAGGGACAAAATCACACAGGCAGTCAGTCAGGAGTTCTCTAATCTGGAGGGAGGAAAGGCCTTTAAGCAACATATGGCAGCTATCATTAAGGTATATTCATTCAAAAACCAAAATAAATTGATGAATAAATACAGATAGCTGTAAATACTTAGCTTACCTGTCATTGACAAAGATACATATATAGTTGTAAAAAACTGACATTTTACTGTCATGCTTGGAGTATATCCATGACAACAGAAGTTTTTACACAACAAACATGCCATACTGTAACTGTTTGGTATCTCATTTTCTTTTTTGACTGTTTTTCAATAGGTCACTTGTGTGGCCACACAGATTTCTCTGGATACTTCTGATTTCCTTTTTTTGGCCAGTAAGCATAAGAATATGAAATAATATAGCTTGTTTAATACAGGTTACTAAACTGTAAGGTTGACCTTAAATATTGGGTATAGTGTAGATCAGCACCAATTAGAACTGTAGGCATGACCTTAAATATTGGGTATAATGTGGATCAGCACCAACTAGAACTGTAGGCATGACGTTAAATATTGGGTATAATGTGGATCAGAACCAACTAGAACTGTAGGCATGACCTTAAATATTGGGTATAATGTGGATCAGCACCAACTAGAACTGTAAACTTGACCTTAAATATTGGGTATAATGTGGATCAGCACCAAATAGAACTGTAAACTTGACCTTAAATATTGGGTATAATGTGGATCAGCACCAACTAGCACTGTAGGCATGACCTTAAATATTGGGTATAATGTGGATCAGCACCAACTAGAACTGTAGGCATGACCTTAAATATTGGGTATAATGTGGATCAGCACCAACTAGAACTGTAGGCATGACCTTAAATATTGGGTATAGTGTAGATCAGCACCAATTAGAACTGTAGGCATGACCTTAAATATTGGGTATAATGTGGATCAGCACCAACTAGAACTGTGATGTTGACCTTAAATATTGGGTATAGTGTGGATCAGCACCAACTAGAACTGTAGGCATGACCTTAAATATTGGGTATAGTGTAGATCAGCACCAACTAGAACTGTAGGCATGACCTTAAATATTGGGTATAATGTGGATCAGCACCAACTAGCACTGTAGGCATGACGTTAAATATTGGGTATAATGTGGATCAGCACCAACTAGAACTGTAGGCATGACCTTAAATATTGGGTATAATGTAGATCAGCACCAATTAGAACTGTAGGCATGACCTTAAATATTGGGTATAATGTGGATCAGCACCAACTAGAACTGTGATGTTGACCTTAAATATTGGGTATAATGTGGATCAGCACCAACTAGAACTGTGATGTTGACCTTAAATATTGGGTATAATGTGGATCAGCACCAACTAGAACTGTAGGCATGACCTTAAATATTGGGTATAGTGTGGATCAGCACCAATTAGAACTGTAAACTTGACCTTAAATATTGGGTATAATGTGGATCAGCACCAACTAGAACTGTAGGCATGACCTTAAATATTGGGTTTAATGTGGATCAGCACCAATTAGAACTGTGATGTTGACCTTAAATATTGGGTATAATGTGGATCAGAACCAACTAGAACTGTAGGCATGACCTTAAATATTGGGTTTAATGTGGATCAGCACCAATTAGAACTGTAGGCATGACCTTAAATATTGGGTATAGTGTGGATCAGCACCAATTAGAACTGTAAACTTCACCTTTAATATTGGATATAATGTGGATCAGCACCAACTTGAACTGAAAAAATGTATTGATCAATTCCAAAGCATTTCTGTTTTTTTTTTCTGTATCCAAAAGAGGAAAAACATCGTCAAATAAAATGATATCATGACTGATTTTTTTATCTGAAAAACATGCATAAATCATTATGAAATGTGTCGTTATTGTTTCTGTCTCTGAGACTAGAACAGTTAAACATTGACATGTGACAGGTGAGTGGAGATTGTTGAAAGGAACAAAGGATCAGGTTTATGTAAGTTAGAGTGTTAGAGCAGCATCTTACATTAACACAGGAAATCTCTAGGAACTTCCACCATAGATCGTATTTCAGGGTATCCTTCAGAAGGAGTACAAGTAGAATATATGTTGGTTATATACCAGGAATTTTTCTGAAATAGAGTTTTGATGAAAATAAACAGTGTTATCTAGTATAAATATTTGAATGGATGGTTGTGAGGGGGAGGGCGGTGATCTATTGGAACAGACTAAACTATCTGACATTCCATGCTATGTCCCCCCTCCCTCCCCCCCTGGAGAATGATGTAACATTTGTTTGTAGGTCTCCTGTAGATCTGGGTGGTCATGGTGGCTTATCTCCCTTGTCAATCCTTAGCTAATAATATATGACCTTGACTTATAACATTAAGGAGAAAGCTAAGCTAGAATAGGCACTCATCTAACAAATTAACCTAAATATGTACTTTGTCTATAACTATTTAAACAAGCAGGTTAATAGATGTAGTTATATCAGTATATAAAACAAAAGAAAAATGAAATAAAAAATCTAGAGATGAAAGCTTGGCTGTGATCTTGGCTAAATGCCCTGTAGTTCTGACCTCTGCCAGAGTTAGTAACAATCTGGTCTCTATAATAGCTGTAGGTAAAGAGAAAGCCTACAACGGAATAGTGATAAGTAGACAGCATCTGTGTATACATATCTTTTCATATTGTTATTAAAGAAAAATAATGCTGCAATCACCACCATGTATAAAACACTGAAGCACCTTTTACTTCCAGTCAAAGCAACAGCTAATGGTGCAGAGAGGTATTGATATCTTCATGTATTTCACCTCTGACAATGTTTTTTTTTTCTTTTGGAAATCATTCAAAGAAAACAGTAATTAAATGTTTTGTACCGAGACCAGACTTTATTTACCCTGAGTAATGAGTACGTGAACTTATTGGTTTCGTTGAACTCTGGGAGCAAAGATTAAGTGGTCTGATTTTGAGAAAACCATTCTATATGTAAGTATGAAACAGTTCACTCTGTATAAACCTTCATCAAAGTTATACTAAAACATCAAAAACACTGAAGATTGGGAACAATGTGGGTTATTTTGTCACATATTTTCTACACCACTTACTGTAAAACTTCCCAAAACATATTATATGATGTACTTTTTTATTAGAAAATTATATTTTTATCCTTTATATATTTGATAAAATCATTTCTGTCCTGATCAATGTTGACTGAACTCCCTGTCATGTAAAGCTAGTAGGTTGGGATCAGTGTACTTCAGCATGTTGTAGAGCTGAGTACATGAAGATATATCAGGTGTATGGATGATATGATGGATGCTGTTGACACTGAGAGATTGCCAGCGATCTCCTACAGCAATAAATAGGTCAGTGCCAGTCATATAGACCCAGAGAAGTACTGTGTATGATGTATGATGACTGGGATTTCTCAAAGTACTTATAGTGTCATTCATAGGATATTACTCCATAAGTTTCCCAGAAAGTTACATTTGCCTTTACTCGACAGGCATATTTACCAATAGTAGAAGATGGTAGTTAGTTTGTTGGGTTAATGCCCAATGCCATTTTTAGGCAAGGCCTCCTTGTAGTAGCTGGTGGCTACCTCAATGAACAACTTATGGGAGGCTAATTTCATACTGATGCAGGACAATTAGGGTAAAGTGTCTTGCCCAAGAACACAGCCAGTTGGTAGTGGTGAAATTTAAAGAAGGGGAGATAGCAAGACTTTAATAACAATCTCTTCTTCATTTAATCTGTGCAGATCTGTATAACACTTTAAAATGATTCTATCCTCCTTCTCATCTGGGAGTTAGTCCTTTGTCAGTCACGGTTTAGTTTGAAAAAGTCCGGTGGATTTTATTCCATAACAGAGGAAGTCCTGTGTTAGTCATGGTTTATTTTGAAAAACACTCCTTTTCTTCCATAATGTCCAAGACATCTTAGGGAAATGACCAGAAAATCATTTCAGGGTTATGATTATGGAAATATATAACTAGTCATGGTAAACTGTTCAGTGATAGCAGGCTAGGTGTTATGTCCATACTGTTTAGGCTTGTTATGAGTGAGCTGTGCCTCTGGACAAATCATTTGGCTGACTGACAGATTTTCTTACTGTCTATTACTCCTGTCTGCTATCCCCCCTCCCCCCCCCCCCCCACCCCCTCCCTCTCCCCTTCCCCCATATGTCCCACTCATTCCCTCTTCCCTCAATCCAACTCAGAGTATCTGTTATATTTGGCCTTTCTATGACCTTAAAGTTGATGTTTCCGATAATTTCCATATTATATATGTACTCTAAACATTTTTTCACTGCAGGCAAAGAAAATATAAGATGTATCTATGTTTATCATTTCCTGTATTTACATTGAGCCCTACCTTAAATCTAGCTGGACGAGGGGGTTAGATGTATGATAACTATAGATTGGCCTCAGGCCTCCCTACAATAATTATAGTAATTCATCCATTCTGTCTGAGGTAACAAGTTCACACTGGGCCAAGTCCTATCGAGGATATAGTAATTGCTTCTATTGCTCCATGTAATGACGTTCAGATGGTGGCAACCCTGTTTAATATACTGTGGTCAGAAAATATATGTCCTCAACATGTTTGGTCCTTGAAAATAAACCTGTTAATCAAATTAACATGCGTTGCACTAAGACATGGTATAAATACATGTATATTTACAGAAGCATCATAACAGGATTTAACAGATTTTTCAAAGTCAGAGTGTCTATATAATTTTATTTCTTAATATTGTTGTTTTTATGGCATATTAACAGCCAGGGTCCTATAAGAACGTGACAGGTTTGGGTAGGTGAGAGGAAAGGCTGTCCTGAAGAAAAGCCACCGTCCTTTCCTATGTAGATTTATAATGAATCTATTAACATTTGACATAACCTAAATCACCTGAAGGTTTATAGAAATATTAAAAGTTTAAATAGACTGTATTGTATGGTGAATCCTAATACATGTTGTACAAAGCAATAAAGTCCAGAGAATGATGACACATTCGAAGACTCCAGTCACACAGATTTAGGATATAAATGGCCAACCATGAGACATCCAGCACATGTTAATATAGTTCTTAGAGTGATGCTCTAATGTAAGATGTGTGGTGTGTGGGATTTATCTGGATCATGGTCCACCTTAATAAGAATGATGCAGACATGAACATGTAGAGGAGGGTCAACATCAGACATGTGATACACAAGGAAAGACCTGGGGATGTTTGTAGTCCTCCGAATCTTCTATCTTTGTAACTGCAAACAACCTTGTGTAAATATATAATGATGTGTCTATACTTTATTCAACCTTCTTAGTGGCAAGTCATTAAAACCAATTACTTATGCTAGAGAGGATGTGTATTTCAGGTTTTTGTTATTAAATGTGAAGATAATGAGAATAAGCTTGGTGCCAAATGATGGTGAAATTAAGATTCACACATGCATGGTTCCATACACCACACTGGTTCTGATTTTAGCGTAACTCTGTTGTTTCATGGTTGTTAAAAAGACTTTCCACCCTAATTGAACACTTTCCTGATTTCTGCTTTGGTAATTAACTAGAAAACTGTAGAATCAGATATGATGAGGCGGCTGTAATGTCCTGGAACTTTTGCGTCTGGCTGTGGTTAAGAGGCTAGGTTTTATCATGGAAATGTTGTAAATCTGACATGATTCTGGTATAGATACCAGCAGCCCACTGTTTTAACTACTTCCATTACACCCAGGACTTAGATCTGCTACCTGTAGAAATGTTCATGGCTTCCCTTTAATTATCCACTGTGGGATTTTGTTATGGGCTGCTTTTCATCAGTTACAATAATTGGATTGTTTCAGTCCATGATTCAAATTTTCATGGATTTATGAGAAGCTTAAAGTAAAATGATGTGTTTTTCTTGGAAGTCAAGAAACAGATTATTAATTCTACTGTTAATTATATTTTCGAGATTTCTATTTTTTGTTAAGTGTGAATTTGTAGACAGTTAAGAGGTTGGAGGACATGGGGAGATAACTTTGAATTCGGATGATATGAGATAAATTGCACAACGTGCCCATAGGAAGACAACTGTAAATGAAAGTGATATTTGGAGACAATTATGAATGTGATATGGGGGAAGACAGCTGGACATTTATGTGGGGAGAAAACTGAATTTGAATGATGTGGGGAGACAACTGCTAATTAAGGTGTTATGCTGAGAGGTTTGTTAATTCAAACTGGGATGAAATTAGCAAGCACCTGTGAATTGGTGTTATATGAGGAGACAACTGTGAAATAGAATGACATTTAGGAATAAAAACTTTAAATGGAGTGATGTGTTTGAGATATTGTTCCTTTAAATTCTGGTGGAAAAGGCTGAAGTTCTGCTACTGATATATTGTTTCCTAGATCAAGTGATGGTTAAAATGTTGTTCTGCAGCTTACCCTTGGAGCATGTGCTTGTCTTTTTGTATTCCCCTTACTGCCTGTAGAATGGACCTGTCCAATTCTCTGAGGAGTTTGTACACCACATCATGGCTAGCCTATATACCCTGGATTATCTGATCCCGTAGATAAAGCTGATTGTACTGATATAAGGGGATATAGTTAGGGGGAGTAAGACAGCTACTGTTTATACCAACAACTGAAACACACTCTTTCTCAGATCTTCTAGTCAAGTTCATAATTTTATCATACCTACAAATGCTGTTTCTCTCTAGTCGTGGTTTCATGAATGTTTAGAACATTTTGATAGAAAATAGCCTTGATGAAGTTTTCATGACCAGAAGTATTTGATCTTGCCACCCACATAGTTTAAGACCTGTTGTGATTTATAGCAGGTTCTACTTATTTTTCATCCATGTATGTTGTTTAGCAAGTAAACAAAAGAAATCTTGAAGGTTAAATGTGCACATGGTACCCCTGTTTTAATTTACCAAATGTATGTAGGGTATAATTGCTAATTAGCTGTATAAATGAAGATACAGAGACAATCTACCCTTGCTGACATTTTAAATTATATTCTTAAATGCAAGGATGAAAAAAGGCCTGGATATGTTATTTTGTATAAAGGTTTGATTGTGTTGGTGGTATATGGCTATGGTCATATATATCTCACTGTTTCATATACTGGAAACATACATGCTTTGAAATATATGAATAAAGTTTTACACTTGGATATGATTGTGCTAATCATCACTTCTGGGTTTATATAGAGCAATTATTACTGATTTGTGGAAATGTGATAATGCACTAAAATTTCATTCTGCTTCATTGATATGTATGCATTATGTAAATGACGAAGAACTGGAAATAGATATATAGGTACTTGACCAGGGATGGTATCACTGATGTTGGAACTTGACCAGGGATGGTATCACAGATGTTGGAACTTTACCAGGGATGGTATTGTAGATGTTGGTATTTGACCAGAGATGGTATCACAGATGCTGGTATGGTATTGTAGATGTTGGTATTTGACCAGGGATAATATCACAGATGTTGGTATTTGACCAGGGATGGTATTGTAGATGTTGGTATTTGACAAGGGATGGTATCACAGATGTTGGTATGGTATTGTAGATGTTGGTATTTGACCAGGGATAATATCACAGATGTTGGTATTTGGCCAAGGATGGTATTGTAGATGTTGGTATTTGACCAGGGATGGTATCACAGATGCTGGTATTTGACCAGGGATGGTATCTTAGATGCTGGTATTTGACCAGGGATGGTATCACAGATGCTGGTATTTGACCAGGGATGGTATCACAGATGCTGGTATTTGACCAGGGATGGTATCTTAGATGTTGGTATTTGACCAGGGATGGTATCACAGATGCTGGTATTTGACCATTGATGGTATTGTAGATGCTGGTATTTGACCAGGGATGGTATCACAGATGCTGGTATTTGACCAGGGATGGTATCACAGATGCTGGTATTTGACCAGGGATGGTATCACAGATGCTGGTATTTGACCAGGGATGGTATCACAGATGCTGGTATTTGACCATTGATGGTATTGTAGATGCTGGTATTTGACCAGGGATGGTATTGTAAATGTTGGTATTTGACCAGGGATGGTATTGTAGATGTTGGTATTTGACCAGGGATGGTATTATAGATGTTGGTATTTGACCAGGGATGGTATTGTAAATGTTGGTATTTGACCAGGGATGGTATTGTAGATGCTGGTATTTGACCATTGATGGTATTGTAGATGCTGGTATTTGACCAGGGATGGTATCACAGATGCTGGTATTTGACCAGGGATTGTTATAAGAGATGGTGCTGTTTACTTTTACCTCTGTACATGATTGGGTTTTCCCTGTAGGATGCTTCGGTCTGTCGTTGGTACTTTGGAGATCTGAGAATCTGAGAAATCATTTTACAGTTTTTTTGCACAGTTGCCAAGAGTTTTGGACGTATTCCACTCCTACACACACTTACCAGCAGTAATGTCTGTAAACATGACCTTTTTCCTATAAAATGTAACTTACTCCCTCTTCCAGAAGTTGGCATTGCCATGGTCAAACAAAATGTAGATACACAGAAACTAGGTAATAAACAAGCTTCATAAAAACTTGATAGTTACTTTTGATGAATTGTACAATATAGTGTGAGGGTTGGGGTCTGTGCTCACATTAGAAGGAAGACTGTGGGTGGGGATCAGAGTCTGTGTACACATCAGAAGGAAGACAGTGGGTGGGGATCAGAGTCTGTGTACACATCAGAAGGAAGACTGTGGGTGGGGGATCACAGTCTGTGTACACATCAGAAGGAAGACTGTGGTTGGGAGATCACAGTCTGTGTACACATCAGAAGGAAGACTGTGGTTGGGGATCAGAGTCTGTGTACACATCAGAAGGACGACTGGGTGGGGATCAGAGTCTGTGTACACATCAGAAGGAAGACTGTGGGTGGGGATCAGAGTCTGTGTACACATCAGAAGGAAGACTGTGGGTGGGGATCAGAGTCTTTGTACACAACAGAAGGTGGACAGTTGATGGTGGATCAGATCAATAAACATTTTTCCTCTTTGGAACTGTTTGTTTAAAAAGTGAGTAACTATCAAGGAAAGTGAGAGCAATAATAAACTTTCCCTTCCTCATTCTTCTGCTGATACAGATGGAAATAATCCAGTTTTTAAACAAGATTAAAGTAAAAGTTTTTCTCTCTGGCTGTAATAATATTGATAACAGAAATGTTTAGAAGATAAATATCTTGTTGATTGGTTGTGGTTGATATTAGGGTTTGGTAAGTTCTGAGCTATAGAGATAAATTTATGTAATACTGTTGTTTGGTGAGGAACAGCACATGTTGCCGTTACTACCATCCATAAAGGTCTGGCCATTCACTTCTCCCTGAGGAAAAGGAGGAGGGACTTGGCTGAGGTTTAGCATAACCCAAATGTGTCTGTACACCTGTACCAAGTATATATATATATATATGTATCCCCAGGGACAGGATCATGCTGGAGACAAAATGTTAAAAAATGATAAAAAAGGAGAGATTATCCAAGTCTGTATTATAAAATGTATGCTCATTCTCCTATTCTATAATTGATGCACCTGGTAGATATGGACTTCTGCTTCAGTTAGGGTATGGGTTTCTTTGTTAAGTGTTTCATCTAATTCACCAGATGTTATAATTTTAGGTTTAAAGTATGGTCTGTATAATTGTATCTTCCTTAATGTTACAGATAATGAGAAAGCTTCAAAAAATATTTTTTCTATTTTTGTGATTAATTTTCAAAGTTTCTGTGATTCAAATAGAAGAAATTAAATTTTATTAAGAATTTTGTATAATTTCAGGCATGCAAACTCCCACTTTATTGGAAGAGCTTGTTATTTCATGCAGCAGGAGGTGAAAAGAATGGCTTCATTACACAACAGTCCTTCAATTCCATGTGGAAAAGGTACATTGTATATTTGTCTGTATGTACACTTGAAGTAAACTTATAATTGAGAAATATTTCTGCCAGTATTATATTCTTGATTGTGTAATATGTGTATTTTATACTTCACAGTCTTTATACAGTCAGCTGATGTTTTGTTGCTATTGTCAAAATGTATAACCAAGCATAACTCTATAAAACAAAGAAAAAACAGCTTTAGATATGGGTACCTGGATGAGCTTATTCCCAATGATGGTCTTGTTTTTGGAACAGCTGTAGATATGGGTGTCTGGGCTGGGCTTATTACCAAAGATGGTCTTGTTGTTGGAGCAGCTATAGATATGGATGTCTGGGATTGGCTTATTACCAAACTAGGTCTTATTGATGGAACAGCTGTAGATATGGGTGCCTGGCCTGGGCTTATTACCAAAGATGGTCTTGTTGTTGGAGCAGCTATAGATATGGATGTCTGGGATTGGCTTATTACCAAACTAGGTCTTATTGATGGAACAGCTGTAGATATGGGTGCCTGGCCTGGGCTTATTACCAATGGTGTTCTTGTTGTTGGAACAGCTGTATATATGGGTGCCTGGGCTGGGCTTTTACCAAGCAAGGTTTTATTGATGGAAAAACTATAATTATAGGTGCCTGGGCTCAGCTTATTACCTAATAAGGTCTTATTGATGGAACAGCTATAATTATGGGTGCCTGGGCTGGGCTTATTACCAAATAAGGTTTTATTGATGGAACAGCTATAATTATGGGTGCCTGGGCTGGGCTTTTACCAAGCAAGGTTTTATTGATAAAAAAACTATAATTATAGGTGCCTGGGATTGGCTTATTACCTAATAAGGTCTTATTGATGGAACAGCTATAATTATGGATGCCTGGGCTGGGCTTTTTACCAAATAAGTTTTTATTAATGGAACAGCTATAATTATGGGTGCCTGGGCTGGGCTTATTACCAAAAAAGGATTTATTGATGGAACAGCTATAAGTATGGGTGTCTGGGCTGGGCTTTTTACCAAACAAGGTCTTATTAATGGAACAGCTGAAGATATGGGTGCCTGGCCTGGGCTTATTAGCAAAGATGGCCTTGTTGTTGAAACAGCTATAGATATGGGTGTCTGGGATTGGCTTATTACCAAACAAGGTCTTATTGATGGAACAGCTGTAGATATGGGTGCCTGGCCTGGGCTTATTACCAATGGTGTTCTTGTTGTTGGAACAGCTGTAGATATGGGATCCTGGGCTGGGCTTTTACCAAGCAAGGTTTTATTGATGGAAAAACTATAATTATAGGTGCCTGGGATTGGCTTATTACCTAATAAGGTTTTATTGATGGAACAGCTATAAGTATGGGTGCCTGGGCTGGGCTTATTACCAAAAAAGGATTTATTGATGGAACAGCTATAAGTATGGATGTCTGGGCTGGGCTTTTACCAAGCAAGGTTTTATTGATGGAAAAACTATAATTATAGGTGCCTGGGATTGGTTTATTACCAAATAAGGTTTTATTGATGGAACAGCTATAATTATGGGTGCCTGGGCTGGGCTTATTACCAAAAAAGGATTTATTGATGGAACAACTATAATTATGGGTGCCTGGGCTGGGCTTATTACCAAAAAAGGATTTATTGATGGAACAACTATAATTATGGGTGCCTGGGCTGGGCTTATTACCAAAAAAGGATTTATTGATGGAACAACTATAATTATGGGTGCCTGGGCTGGGCTTATTACCAAAAAAGGATTTATTGATGGAACAACTATAATTATGGGTGCCTGGGCTGGGCTTATTACCAAAAAAGGATTTATTGATGGAACAGCTATAAGTATGGATGTCTGGGCTGGGCTTTTTACCAAACAAGGTCTTATTAATGGAACAGCTTTAGATATGGGTGCCTGGGATGAGTTTATAACCAAACAAGGTCTTATTGATGGAACAGCTGTAGATATGGGTGCCTGGCCTGGGCTTATTACCAATGATGTTCTTGTTGTTGGAACAGCTGTAGATATGGGTGCCTGGGCTGGGCTTTTACCAAGCAAGGTTTTATTGATGGAAAAACTATAATTATGGAACCTGGGCTCAGCTTATTACCTAATAAGGTCTTATTGATGGAACAGCTTTAGATATGGGTGCCTGGGATGAGTTTATAACCAAACAAGGTTTTTTTTGATGGATCAGCTATAGATATGGGTGCCTGGGATGAGTTTATTACCAAACAAGGTCTTATTAATGGAACAGCTTTAGATATGGGTGCCTGGGATGAGTTTATTACCAAACAAGGTTTTTTTGATGGAACAGTTATAGATATGGGTGCCTGGGATGAGTTTATTACCAAACAAGGTCTTATTGATGGAACAGCTGTAGGTATGGGTGCCTGGGTTGGACTTATTACCAAACAAGGTCTTATTAATGGAACAGCTATAAGTATGGGTGTCTGGGCTGGGCTTTTTACCAAACAAGGTCTTATTAATGGAACAGCTTTAGATATGGGTGCCTGGGATGAGTTTATTACCAAACAAGGGTTTTTTGATGGAACAGTTATAGATATGGGTGCCTGGGATGAGTTTATTACCAAACAAGGTCTTATTGATGGAACAGCTGTAGGTATGGGTGCCTGGGATGAGTTTATTACCAAACAAGGTCTTATTGATGGAACAGCTGTAGGTATGGGTGCCTGGGTTGGACTTATTACCTAGTCAGATCTTATTTTACGGAGGTTGAAATATCTGATGCTCTACTGACTGAGGTTGTGTGACTACAAGATGACAGATGATAAAATGCAAACTTGGACAGTGCATAAATAAAAAAAAATTGTCTTATGTATATATATCTGTATAGTGAAAATTTATTTTTAATTTTAGTGTAACTGTGCACTTTGGAATTTTTTTTTCAAATATTAGAATGAATATTTAATTAACCTTTGTAATGCTTTACTTTAACAGAGTATTCCAAACATGTCATGATCGACCGTCCCAGTTTCTTAAATTGTTAGCCAAACCTTCTACCAACTACCTCGAAGAGGATGATTTAATTCCATTAATTCAGGTAAGTTTACCTGAACTGAAACAGGACAACATTGGGTATGTTTGGAATCTGACAGGAGAAATCAACACATGTCACACCAAGGTTTCAACTCAATTGGATAAAACTGGAAAAAATGTGGAACTCATCATTATAATTATAGCCTGACCAGTTGTTTTCCTTTTGGTGAAGACTACGTTTTTATAAAGAAAGCTATTGGATATTCTGTATATACACACACTTAATCAGTATAAGATGAACTTTTTATCTTTATTCCAGGTTCCAAATTGTTTCAAAGCTTTTATTGTCTGACTTTTGCTGAAAAATGCCTCTGTAATCTTGACATTTCATATTCATCGTTGACATGACATCATATAGATGTAGACATTGCAATATCATATTATTTGACATTACGATGCATTATATGTATAATTGACATTTCATATGAACTGTTGGTGTGATGTCTTGGATCAACAATATGATACAAATAAGGCAAATCCCACACATCAGACTTGTATGAGAAATCTGTATTGTTAGGGAGCAGCCAATCCTTTCTGTTGACTGACCAGATGGATTCTCACCAATCTTACCTGTCGACTGACCAGATGGATTCTCACCAATCTTACCTGTTGACTGACCAGATGGATTCTCACCAATCTTACCTGTTGACTGACCAGATGGATTCTCACCAATCCTACCTGTTGACTGGCCAGGTGGATTCTCACCAATCCTACCTGTTGACTGACCAGCTGGTTTCTCACCAATCTTACCTGTTGACTGACCAGGTGGTATCTCACCAACCCTACCTGTTGACTGACCAGGTGGTATCTCACCAATCTTACCTGTCGACTGACCAGGTGGATTCTCACCAATGTTACCTGTCTACTGACTGGATGGTTTCTCATCAAATCTACCTGTTGACTGACAAGGTGGTTTCTAATCAAATCTTCCCTGTCGACTGACCAGATGGATTCTCACCAATCCCACCTGTTGACTGACCAGGTGGATTCTCACCAATTCTACCTGTCGACTGACCAGGTGGTATCTCACCAATCCTACCTGTTGACTGACCAGATGGATTTTCACCAACCCTACCTGTTGACTGACCAGGTGGTATCTCACCAATCTTACCTGTCGACTGACCAGGTGGATTCTCACCAATGTTACCTGTCTACTGACTGGATGGTTTCTCATCAAATCTACCTGTTGACTGACAAGGTGGTTTCTAATCAAATCTTCCCTGTCGACTGACCAGATGGATTCTCACCAATCCCACCTGTTGACTGACCAGGTGGATTCTCACCAATTCTACCTGTCGACTGACCAGGTGGTATCTCACCAATCCTACCTGTTGACTGACCAGATGGATTTTCACCAATCCTACCTGTTGACTGACCATGTGGTATCTCACCAATCTTACCTGTCGACTGACCAGGTGGTATCTCACCACTCCTACCTGTCGACTGACCAGGTGGTATCTCACCAACCCTACCTGTTGACTGACCAGGTGGTATCTCACCAATCCTACCTGTTGATTGACCAGATGGATTCTCACCAATCCTTCCTGTTGACTGACCAGGTGGTATCTCACCAATCCTACCTGTCGACTGACCAGGTGGTATCTCACCAATCCTACCTGTTGACTGACCAGATGGATTCTCACCAATCCTTCCTGTTGACTGACCAGGTGGTATCTCACCAATCCTACCTGTCGACTGACCAGGTGGTATCTCACCAATCCTACCTGTCGACTGACCAGGTGGTATCTCACCAATCTTACCTGTCGACTGACCAGGTGGTGTCTCATCAATCTTACCTGTTGACTGACCATTTGGTATCTCACCAATCCTACCTGTTGACTGATCAGGTGGTATCTCACCAATCCTACCTGTTGACTGACCAGGTTGTATCTCCCCAATCCTACCTGTTTACTGACCAGGTGGTATCTCATCAATCTTTACCTGTCGACTGACCAGGTGTATCTCATCAATCTTACCTGTTGACTGACCAGGTGGCTGTCCACTGACCAGGTGGTATCTCAACAAACTTACCTGTTGACTGACTAGGTGGTTTCTTTTTAAGTATACTTCAAGTTTGAGCACATCAGAATTAAAACCCCATCTCCTCAGTGATTCAGCAACATGTCCTGAAGTCCTGACCCTGTCATGTATACATTGTAATGAAACTGAAGTGGCAAAACAAAACAAAATTTGAAAGCAATCCTACCAGCTTGTGAAGAGTACAGCTTAACTACATGCTTCTTTGATATGCAGAGATTTATTGGGTTTTCATAAAGTTTATTTATTTTATCTATATTTAAAGTAAATCATGTCTTTCACCAAATACGTACAAAGTTATGATATATAATTCTTCACTGTCTCGGCTATTCTAAGTTTGACATCTTGTTGTAAAACAGGATGGTTCATGTTCCGTTTCATTAAACTTCAATTTACATTTGATGAAATTATTTGGCATGGTGCCTCTCTCTATCTGCCAAAATGTTGTGTCACATAATAAAATAATTATTTTGAACAATTCTCTTTTTATCTTGAATCAGACTTATAAGTGTAGTTTAATGAATGTTTTATACTGGACAGTAAAGTACAGCATTATTTCTCTGGAACGAATAATTGTTTAATGTTTTCAGTGAACCATACTGTCTCTGTTTAGTACCAGATAAAATACTGAAAGAACAATTTAGGTTCAATAAACCGTGACAATGGCTAGCCATGTGTCTGTTTCGGCTGTTACATTAGGCTCCTAGTCCTTAAATCAAAATTTGGACTAAATTACATTAGTTTTGCACTGGAGTATTCTTTCAATTCTGGTGTTTCTTTTACATTCATATGTGTATTTAAAATACTTTCAAAAAAATGTAAATTTTTGCACAAAGCAGCTTGAAACTTTTTAACATATCATGTCTAAAACTTCATGTTTTCATTTGATTAGAATTCGACAAAGATGTACTTTTAAGGTAAATACCATAGTTCTCAGTTTTTACCTTTGATTTTTTTAATTTTGTTACAGGATGTGGTGGACACTCACCCTGGTTTGACTTTCCTTCAGGAGGCTCCAGAGTTCCACTCCAGATATGTTAATACTGTGAGTCATTTGTTAGTCTGTGGTGGGATCAAAGTTTTTTAGTCTTTTCTGTAACATAAAATGATGTGTCATTTGAAACTGAAGATACATTACTGAAGTCAAAGGTCATATGTTAGTATTGGGATCAAAGGTCAAATAAGTGGGAATAAAGGGTCAAAGGTGCTTTCATTGAGACCAATGCCTCACCATATAGCCTTAATATAGATCTCAGGTATGATTTGTGAGATAGCATATAGTCTTAACTTTAATACAGATCTCAGGTAGGATGTGTGAATTAGCATATAGCCTTAACTTTAATACAGATCTCAGGTAGGATTTGTGAGGTAGCATATAGCCTTAACTTAAATACAGATCTCAGGTAGGATTGGTGAGGTAGCATATAGCCTTAACTTTAATACAGGTATCAGGTATGATTTGTGAGATAGCATATAGTCTTAACTTTAATACAGATCTCAGGTAGGATGTGTGAGGTAGCATATAGCCTTAACTTTAATACAGATATCAGGTATGATTTGTGAGGTAGCATATAGCCTTAACTTTAATACAGATCTCAGGTAGGATTTGTGAGGTAGCATATAGCCTTAACTTTAATACAGATCTCAGGTAGGATTTGTGAGGTAGCATATAGCCTTAACTTTAATACAGATCTCAGGTAGGATTTGTGAGGTAGCATATAGCCTTAACTTTAATACAGATCTCAGGTAGGATTTGTGAGGTAGCATATAGTCTTAACTTTAATACAGATCTCAGGTAGGATGTGTGAGGTAGCATATAGCCTTAACTTAAATACAGATCTCAGGTAGGATTTGTGAGGTAGCATATAGCCTTAACTTTAATACAGATCTCAGGTAGGATTTGTGAGGTAGCATATAGCCTTAACACAGCTAGATCTAAAGTAGATTGTGTAAAATGCACTATTACTCATACTAACCTACCATAGACAACTCTCATCATATCATATTGTTACTGGTATGGTGAGTAAGATTGTAGAAACTCTTTCCTTCTAATTTAGTTTAGAATTGTAACAGACTGATGATATGATTATAGACAATGAATGCACAATAAATCTTTGAGGAATATATTGTATGACATTATAATACCTTTGGATATTATTAAAAAATTTGTATTGAAATTTCTGAGCAATTTGGAAGTTAACAAATGACTTCTGTGTTACTTCAACGAAATAAACATTGAAATGTAATTTTATTTCTGCTTACAGGTGATAGCTAGGATGTTTTACTGTATAAATCGCACTTGGACAGGTATGATCACCATACCTGAACTACGGAGAAGTAACTTTTTACGGGTGAGTGTGATACAATACAGGATTTACTACCTAGTGGGACAAGACGATTAAACTTAGACAAATGTGGGATACAAATCTATATTGATGTTTACTTATGTCATGTATGTCGTTATTATCCATAAAATTATTATAACATGTTTATTGTGCAGTAGACACATAATGTTCAAAACATAAAACTTGACTCAAATAAAGCTCAAAGTTATTATAACATATTTATTGTGCAGTAGACAAATAATGTTCAAAACTTCAAACTTGACTCAAATAATAGATATTGAAATGCATTTCTACTCGTTTTGCAATACATGTACCTGTGGGTAGGCTTGAAACCTGATAACTAGAGTGTACTGCGTTCATTTTATCAGATACCAAACATACCCTTCTAAGAAGAAAGATTAAAAATTTGTATTCCATGCGCACAACAATTTCATTAGCAATTATGAAATTAGAAAACACTTTTTGGCAATATATCAGTTTTAATTTGAAGAGAGTATTTCAAGAGGGTAGTGGGCTTCTGCCAAATGTAATAATTTAATTATTGTTTGTATAATATAATTATAATAATATAAAAATCAGAAAATGTATTTCAATATACATGTTACTTTGTCATTGTTAAAATCATGCTTTTATTTGAAGTGCATAAAAAAAATATGAAGATTCAGTATTCTTCATCTTGATGACAGATGTAGTAAATGTTTTTGCTAAACTTTAATTAAAAGAAAGTCTATTTTAAAGTATGATTTTCAGTGTCATATGATGAAATTTTTCATGACAAATATCACTGATAGAGTGTATCACATTGTCACTACACTTCCTTACAATGATAACTTCATTTCATGTTTCAGACTTTAGAACGTTTAGAAGAAGAAGATGATATTAATCAAATCATGGACTTCTTTTCCTATGAACATTTTTATGTTGTGTATTGTAAGTTTTGGGAGCTAGATAAAGATCATGATCTCCTCATCGACAAAAATGATTTGTCACGTCACAATGATCATGGTAAGTTGATGATGTAGGTTGTTAAAACAAAGAAAAGCTCTGGTCCTGTCATTACACATGATTAAAAGAATGTGAAAACTAAAAAGTTCAACATGCTTTGGAAGATAAATAATCAAAGACATTGTGTAAAACTCAGTCTATTCAAGGTCACGAACAAGGTCGCTAAAATTAGCACCAGAATATACTGTAAAAATACATCTTTTCAAAAATTACACATGATCCTACACTGTGATATACAGAATTGCAAATGGAGTTTATATAGATTGTAAGGTTAATATTGCTGTTACAAATGTACTTGTAATAGAAGCAGCTAAATGTTGTCAAAAGTACATTGTACATTGTACAGGGCATTTACAGAGGACCAGACTTTCTGAAATTTCACATGATTTTAAACTTTGATGTGCAGATATGGAATATCAAATGCTACTTAGGTCAAACTTAAGGTCACTGTTACTAAAAATGGAACAGGATATAGACTTTCAAATAATACATTATATATCATGATGTAACAGATAACCAAAATTTTCTTAAATAGATAATTTTTTACAGGATTCCATACATGGGTTAGACTGTATATATCTCTAAATCCAAATTGTTGTCTTTTCTTTTATTATAATAGGGAATATATACTATCTGGCACACAGCATGCATGGCCCTCTCTGTTATAGTCTATTGCTTATAATAGAGTTGTCTCTCTTTGAAATAAAAACATTACTTTTCATCTATAGCATCATTGTTATAATTTCAGCTATAGCAACACGGGTGATCGACAGAATATTCTCAGGGTGTGTAACAAGGTAGGTGTGCACACTGGTAAGGGATATACCAGGCTTTGATTATGATAATGCTGCCATACATGTTCCAGGTCTTGAACATACATGTCACTTTTCCCTTCTTTGATGATTAGTTAACATTATAAAATGTGTGTAAATTAGAAAAATTAAAATGATAAAAACTGTTTCATCCTACAAATCTTAAGAAAGACAGGTTTCACCCTGTCAATTGTTATAAATTGTCATTTACTGTCTTGTGTGTTTTTTAATGCTTGTTCTTGTTGTTTTGGTAGAGGTAAGGCATTCAAGGAGGGCAAAATGACTTATCCAGAGTTTGTGTGGTTCCTACTGTCAGAAGAGGATAAACGTAACCCAACAAGGTAGGTATATAGTGTTGTAAATGTAACTCCACTAGGTAGGTACATAGTTGGATAAAAGTTGCCTCACATGTAAATACTGATTGTCAGAAAAGTATGAAAAATTTTAGTTGAAGCAATTCTCTGCCTAAATCCTTATATGATGTCTTGAGGAGACTTGAAACATGTAGCTTTGCCCAAGACTATCAGAGTCGCATCTTTGTGCTGACCAAAAATTTAATACAGAACTTTGTGACACAAAAAAACAGAAAACAAGAACACATGGGGGAAAATGTGTGCAATGAGATCATGAAAAGCCATGGTTGTTATAGAAAACTGGCTCTTTATTACAGAAGGACAACAAGCATTTCCTTTAGGAATAAAACAATAGACTTGCATGTTTCATCAAATAATAGTACAGAGTTAATCAGTAAAATTTAAGTTTAGTGTGAAATGAGACTAGTACTAAATAACACTGCAATAATCCTCCTTGTTTTTACTACAGTATAGAGTACTGGTTTCGCTGTATGGATCTGGATGGGGATGGTGTTATCTCTATGTACGAGATGGAGTACTTTTATGAGGAACAGATGCAGAAAATGGAGGACATGGGCATTGAGAAACTTCCCTTTGAAGATTGCCTTTGTCAGGTAAAATAAAAAAAAAAGTTGGATATATGTCTGAGTAGCCAAAAACGAAACTTTGTTTGAAATCTTCAAGGGAAAGAGTAAGAAAGAACTGTTGATGACCAGATGATGAAGACTAGTTCAGATTAATGAAATATCCCAATGTTAATCAGAATATACTGCAGCATCCCAGCATTAGGATACAGCATCCCAGCATTGTCAGTTAGTGATTGTGTGTTGGACCAGGATTAGGATACAGGACAATAAGATAATATGATAAACATTTCACATCTAAATCAGCTGAATCAATCAGGATAAAGAAATGATGTAATATTTGTTTTGTTTTCAGATGTTAGATTTAGTTGGACCAAAAGATGAAGGACGCATAACGTTAGCTGACCTGAAGAACTGTAAAATGACCAATATTTTCTTTGATACATTCTTCAACCTAGACAAGTTCCTGGAGCATGAACAGCGGGATCCATTCGCCAATGTTAGGGTAGGTTTTGTCTTAAAGCAGCGATGTTCATTCGCCAATGTAAGGGTAGGTTTTGTCATAAAGCAGCAGTTCTCATTCCCCAATGTCAGGGTTGGTATTGTCTTAAAGCAGCGATGTTCATTCGCCAATGTAAGGGTAGGTTTTGTCATAAAGCAGCAGTTCTCATTCCCCAATGTCAGGGTTGGTATTGTCTTAAAGCAGCGATGTTCATTCCCCAATGTCAGGGTTGGTATTGTCTTAAAGCAGCGATGTTCATTCGCCAATGTAAGGGTAGGTTTTGTCATAAAGCAGCAGTTCTCATTCCCCAATGTCAGGGTAGGTTTTGTCTAAAAGCATGCAGTTCTCATTCAACAGTGTTAGGGTTAATTCACCAGCATTAGGGAAAGGTTTTGTCTGTTCTGACCAATGTTTATTTGTAAATATCAGTATTCATATGTCGATGTTAATAGGGTAGTTTTTGTCTGTGTACAATATCACCAACTCACCTTTTTTTTGTAATTTTTCACATTAAAAAACATTGGCCTGGGAAACTGTGATATTGATAACTTCTAATTGACATGTAATTTGTAAATTAAAAACTTTAAAAAAATCATTTCAGTAACATATATAATGTACATAAAATCATTTCAGTAACATATATAATGTATACAAAATTATTTCAGTAACATATGTAACCCTGGTAAAATACTAGCCGCAGTATACCACTCGGCTAGAGAGAACTTCTCTTTAGCTTGATTGGTTGAGCGTCAGACTAGTAAGTCAGGGGTCCTGGGTTCGATTCCTAGCGGAGGCATTGAAATAAATAATGACCTCTGTTACATTGGCGCCCATGTAGGGACCCGGGAATAGTACTTAGCCATGCCCCACCGGCGTAGCTATAACCCCTGGAAACTCGAGGACGAGCTATTTCCTGGAGGGGGAGTATGTAACCCTTGTAAAATACTAGTTGCAATATACCACACGGCTAGAGAGAACTTCTCTTTAGCTCGATTGGTTGAGCGTCAGACTAGTAAGCCAGGGGTCCCGGGTTCGATTCCTAGCGGAGGCATTGAAATAAATAATGACCTCTGTTACACATATATTATGTATATAAAATCATTTTGATTTATGAGATTGCAATTTGATCTGAATTTTTGTTTCCTCATGATTGAAGGATTTGGAGAATGATGGTCCTGAACCTACAGACTGGGAAAAGTATGCTGCAGAGGAGTACGAAAACCTTGTGGCAGAGGAGGGAGCCATGGAGCAAGAGGAGATGTAAGTGTAAAACCATGTCAAAGGTTGGGGAGCTAACTCTGGGAGTTTCTCACAATTAAGTCTGAAACCACAGGAAATACATGCCAACTTTGTTGGAGATGATAATGTATGAAATCTTTACTTATTTTGAAAGGTAGTCATATTACATAATATAATATTCAATACCTACTGTAGTGAACAAATATCTGTTTGTGATGAATTAAATTAATGTTTACAGTTTAACAGAGTTTATAAAGTAATTGTATGTGTTTACATTTCTAAGATCCTTTATGTTGAGTGGGGCCCAGAGTAAATATAGGTATTTTAAAGCCAACAAGAGGTATAGACGGTTGTACAAGGTACACTTAATTATTTATTGAGATCGGGGTCTGCTTGCGGGAACAGTTATATTCGGAAGTGGAATCACATTTATATAGGTTCACCATCTTGCCAGGATGGCAGATTATCTGTATAAGGTCAAGGGTCACTTTCATGTTGTAATAATAGGGGGTCAGGAAATCTATAATTATATCATATTGCATGTCGTATAAATACAAATTTATTTATTAATAAGATTTGTTGTAGAATGAAAAATATTTTGAGGCCAAGCTTAAAATGGAATCTGTTTCTTTTTACTCTACCTTTTTCACTTTTAATACTTTTTGACGAAGTTTTGAAATTGTTTTTGGTAAATAAAAAACTTGAAAACATGTTGTTTAAGCTGGAGAAGTGAGGATTATTTAAGATATTATAATCCTTTCTTAATGTAACGGGAAACAGAGAGTTTTACTTGGCCTTAGCATGCTATAAAGTATATAGGTATGCTGGTTAATCCGGTGACTTGAGGTGTTAGTGTAGTAATTTTGTACAGGTATGCCTGCCAGGTCATCAATGTATGTAGATAGATATACCCTCACTCATGGCTCACCTTAAAATATAACACATGTTACTTGTCACATTCAATTAATGCACAATCTTTATGTTAAGGGGAAAAAAAATCTTATCATATATGTATGGTTCTTGTAAAAGCATTGTAATGATTAATTTAAGAAATATATATATTTACATATAACAGTAAAAATGAAATTTGTTTCTTAGTTTAAAAATTTAACATAGGTTACTGTATTTATCTTGTATGTCAGACAGCAGGTTTTTTTTTCAGATATAAGAAAAGCTGACTTTTAAGAAATCCTGAAAAATTTTCATCCTCATGCACTGTCATATTATGGGTGTGATGATTGTTAAACACTGAAGAGTTTATGTAGAGTGTTTCATCATGTTATGATGCTGAATTCCCAATATTGCTGAAACAAAATAGTACATATGTACCTGACAGTTTGTAGTAAGGATTTTACACAATACTTTTAATACAAAAACTGTGAAAGCATGATTACTCTTTAGTTTCTGAACAAATGACCTTTTGATAAGGTCAGGTTTTACTGTATGTTACAAATACATATACATGGTATGTATTTTCTTATGTAAAAGAAAAAGAAAAAAATCACAACACAAGTCTACACTGATTTTCTTTTCAACATCACATTTCTCACAAGCAGCTGGGGACCACGAGAGGATGATTACTACTAGGTAGTATTGTGTTGTAACCTCTCTCTATGTTACTGGTTGTTGTAGAATCTCCCACTATTATAAACCTGCATGGGATCCAGAGAGACTCCTTTGTTGTAAGGGACCTCAATCACCTAACATTGAATAAAGATAAATCAAAACTGTGCTTTAGATAGTGATGGTTAATTTCCAATTTTTTCAGATGAAAATTTCAGCCGCTAATGCCTATTTTTTTAACTTAAAATTGAAAGGTAGAGCTTCGCCATGAAGAATTTGGGGAAACAAAGACGATAACCAGAACAGTTTGGTTTGTTATTTTAGTGTAGAACTATTTAAGAACATTTTAACAACCTGAAACAGTCTCCCTTTGTCATTGATCAGATTTAAAAGAAGAATCTTTAACTCAAAATGTTAGGGATGTACTCTTTATATATCCCTTGGAGTGCTTATAAGGAACACCAAACATTTGTATGAATAATGAAAGATGCTTGTTGACACAAAAATAATATTTGTCTTATAAAACTTTCCTTTTCTCTCCTTTCCTGGATTTTATGTCTGCAAATGCCTGCTTTTGCATACGTAGTCACTTTTATATTTGTAGTTGGTGTAATGTGGTTTGAAATTTGACTGTTACTTTCTGTCAATTTTCATTCATAATTTGCCTAGCATGGTATTCATTGGAAAGTTTTCTTTCCATACTAACAGTGGTAACTTTCATAGCAACAGACCTCTATATAATTGTGTGCGATACATGATTGAAATATTTACCTTCTTAACTGTACAGATTTTAATCTTTCTTTCACTTCATTATCAGAGCTTGCGGCCATGGTCTATATTGGATGAGTCAACAGATTCTGTGTGTGCTGTCCCTGTAAACTTACTTGTGTTTACAGTAATCTTTTTAGTCTGGATAGCATTGTGGTCGGAGTGATGCTGTAGCCAAAAACTCCCTGAAAATTCTTACTGTTATGGGAGAAATTTTTGCATGTTTATCTTTACAGTCTTTGAACTCTGAACAGAAACAACTTTTTTCTATCAATTTACCATAAAGAAAGTGTTTGTGGAAATTCATGTGCAGGTTCATTTAAGAGAGAGGGAGAAAACTGTGTCCAGAATGTTTCATATGTGTCAGTTTGTAAAATTCAAAATAAGGAAACTTCAAAGGCCACAGATAGAATCCAATCAATTTGAATTTTTCAAATACATACAGAGGGCATTCTACGCTCTGTTGTCTCCCTTTCTCTTAACTTCTAACCGTGGCCTTCATTAATTTAACTGATGATTGTCCAGGAGATGATATAAACTTGTTTTTGAGAAAAGATTCTTTAATCTCATAGCCCTCTAACATGATGCCGTGTATTTGTGTTTTATTTATCTATAGATCTATACAAGTATTTATATGAATATTGTACCTATTTTCATAATACTGCATATCATGGGTATTCTATAGTAAGCTCAAGTAAGTGGCCAACATGCAGTTTCTAATTAAGGGTTAGGGATTTTTAAGTCACTGGTTTTAAGAAGATTCAACAGCATTTGTCGACATATGCTGTAAAGTCATATATTTTTGTGGGGCTCAAATTTGGTTATTTTACAGAAACATGTGTTTTCATTGGCACTTAATTTTTCTTGGAGATATCTTACTAACTAAATCTAATTGTATTTAAGTATGTCAATTTCTATGTGGTCATAATTTCATGGACATAAGAATGGGTGGATTAAGAGTGACCAAGAACTCAATGAAAAATAAATTCCCCGCAAAGAATAAATGGTTTTACAGTATATTGAACAGTGAAAAATGATTTACCAGAATATGGTAGAGTACATTGTACTATGATTTAAGTATGGTTATTTTCCATTTTCGGTTGTTCCTATTTTGATGTTGTCAGAATTTGTATTTATTCACACATGAAGAGGTTTAGTGAACACAATCACAGTAAGTCAGGTTCTAGTCCTCAGTTCATTATGGTAAATTAATTTACTCTAATGTAACAGTGTAATTCTAAAAAAATGCAGAAGCACTTCCAGAAAACCAGCTATCATGAATACATCAGTGTTAAACATGTACATAGAAGATCTCCAGCAGTAAACCACCTGTTTCAGAACTGAAGCTGTTATACGCTATTGTACACGCCATATATTGGTGTTTTATTTTTTGTGTCTTTTATTTTTAAATTTACCTTCAATTTCAGACTGTATGAGGATGACTTTGAACCAGATGATGATGAGATCATACAGAAAGAACGGGCTAACTTGGAACTTGAAATGCAGCGGAACTCTCCTGTGTCACGAGGGAAAATAGGTGTAAAGAATACCAATGACGATATCTATGACTTCAGTACAAAAGATCTTGGCTATTAACTGCAGAGTTATGGTCACAGATGGAAACTCGACATTTTTCTAGTGTTACCTGGTTATTCTCAGGATATTTGTTGGATTCTGCGTCGCGGTGGTTATTGTTATACGCCTTTCAAGGTCTCAGGAGCAAACACTATGTAACAAAGACTGTGATTGCTCAGAAAACTTTGACACCAGAAGTGCTTCAGTTTCTGGTGATTACTGTAGACAGAATGATCAGTGTGGATGAAGGATTTTCACATATCATGTGATGCACGAAGTTTTCTGGGATGTTTGATTGCGGTAGTGATAATGTTACAAGGATTTTGATTGGATGGGATGGTGTCAGCAATTGATATACTGCAACATACTAGGAATTTGATTTGATTGATATGTATGAAAATAGTGACCAGTGTGTCCTGAGGTGAGGAATGACCTGAAATGTAAAAACACTTGCCAGATTGAGGCTGTATGTTATGGACTAGGACCACACTTAGCAGTAACTAATTTCTGCTTGTCCTTGTTTTTGTGGCTAGTCGATGACTTTATATGAACTGCATGTATGTGTAGTCAGACTGTATTTATGTAATTTGTTAGTTAGCAGATTGTATATGTGAATAGAAATATGAGTGAAATTACATTAGTAAGATGTTATTTAAGCCTTTACATAAGTTTTTCCTTATTGTGACGACGGATTTGTGTTGTTTAGTGTCTGAGTTCAAATTAACCTTGTTCAAGCTCAAACTTGAGAAAATAAGAAAATAATTTATTGTGTTATTCTGAAATAACAAAAATTGAACATTAAATGAAGGTAAATGCAATTAATTGAAACATATCATACAGTCTTACCATGCTAAACAACATTGGAATACAAAATTATTTGTACTGATGAATTAACAGTGAGAGATTCCGTCCACTTGTTACTGTTTATACATGTCAGGTTTTTCAACATTATACATTGTATGTCTTGATGCAGTTTGGTGCCTTGTTATTCCTGATGTCATCATTTATAGTTAATTATATTGTTGACTTTGTTGTTACATCTGTTCATTTACTGTGACAAGAGGGCTTCTAGAGGGTCAGCATCACAAACAATGCTAAAGTGAGTGACAAAATCTAGAAAAAATCTGAATGAGGCAATCTTCTGCCATTTCTGTGGTAACAAATTATCCACTCTCATTGATTCGATGTATTTTTTTGTTTTCTAATGGAACTTTTTAAAAAATTGTTGAAGTAGTACCAGGTACATGTTATAACTAATTTTTAAAAATATTTTTTCTCAAAAACTATAAAATGAAAAAAAATGTACCATGTGGTTGTTCTATTGTCAATATGTTTTGATTGTTCAGCAATTGTCTAGATATGATTGGGAATCAAAATAATATCAGAAATGAATTTCATAGTTTGTAAAATTTAGTGAAGAACAGAATCTTATTAAAAAAACAACTTCAAAAGATTATTCTTTCTGTCTTCTAAAGGCATTTGACACAAAAAACTGAAAATACTGGAGAAGAATTTGGTAATTTTCAAAGTCATCTCCACAAATAAATTTACTGAAAAAGAGGACATACCTCTGAGGATGATAGAGTATTCCTGGAATTGTATGTGCATAGTTTTGATGTTGTGTAAAGTATGTGTAGGTAGTAATTGCATCATAAGACATCTCTAGTTATCTCCCTTGTGACATTAAGTCGGTTTGCTTTCCATTAATTGAACTGGCCAAACAATATTTCTGTTTTTTTCTACGTGAAAAGTTGTGGATGTGATTTACAGGTCCTCCACAGATTGTGGATAAACTTTTACAGCCAAAATTTCATGATTTATGGGAATATCTTTCAGTCTGCAAGTAGTGCTTAAGGATCAGCTTGATGACTTTGTACTCAAATATGAGAAACATAGAACATGCATCATATTAAATATTTCTTTTGTTATGATATAAGTCATTGCTTTAATTCTATAAACATTACAGAAGTGAAGGATCAGCCATACTTATCCTCTGCTTGTTAATTTGAATTTTATTCGAGTCTGTGAGGAATAAAGTTTTGCTTGGAAAATGTTAGACATTAATCCGTCAGGAATTCATTGAACCACCAAGTGTAGTATCCCTGTAAAAGTGTGTCCATCATTCTTCAAATTTGTTTTATAACATCTCTTAAGGTACTTATGATGAATCTAGTCTATTTATTCAAAAGATGTAGTAATAAACTGTTCATTGTGTCAGTAATTCTTTCCTGTGTTGAATATTTCCCATTTAAGTTTTGTATATCACACTATACATGCTTATTTCTGATAGTGATGAAACCATGAAAATTCTATGACATGGCCAGAGAGAAAAACCTTCTGTTCCAGTTTTGATTCAGGTAAATTGATTTTCCTTTGAAGTGGGAGGGAAATACACAGTATTGTATGTTGTAGGCATTAGTATGTGTGAAGCAGTGCTGGTTTGAGGGCTTATATGAATTTTTATATAGTTGAGGGCTAAGTGTCAGGGTAAAGCGAAATGCTAACTCATTGCCAGGAAGACCAAGAAAAAGTATGTTGATCTCTACAACAAACATTTCATTGTATTCAGTAAATGTGATGTGTCGATGCTTGTGTGGATCTTTCTTTTCTTCATACACCAAATAAATCATGTGATACCTGTACATGTACTTGTCAGTGATGATAATCATTTAACACCAGATATGTATTAAAACATTTGTAGATAAATTGTTATACTAAATAGAGAAGTGATGATTATAAAATATCTGTAATGAATTTTGTCTTCCGTTGGCTTGGTTAATTGGTGTTGTCTTGTACAGTGCATTTTTATTTACACCTGTAATGTAGTCACTCCTACCTGGGGTGTGCTCTGAAAAGAAAAATGTTTTCAATCATTTAAAATTGTATTTAAAACAAAAATGTCGATATTTTGATATGCCAAGACAAGAAATAAGGCCACTGTTGATAATTTGTTTGATCATTGATCAGTAAACAGATCTGCTTCTCCTGGTTACAACCGTAAGCAGATGTTAAATATTTTCCTTGCTGAAGCAGAACTGGAATTTTTAGTGTAGGCAAAGTTGTTCAAATTAATGTTTTTGTATAATGGTTTGCTAAATACTAAATAAACTAATATGGACATAGATGTTCTAATATTTTGTGTGTTAATAAGGTTTATTGTCTAAATTTTGTAGAAATTTAAATGAGTAACTGAATACCAAGTCCATTAAGTATAACAAAGCTATAAATAGACCATTGTTTGTACATGTGTGTCAGTTTAGATTAGAAGTTGGTTAGTCTGGTTGTATTATTAACTGACAGTTACCTCCCCTGATTTACATATTTTGTCATCCTACAGACATAATGTCAGCTCTATTTATTAACTTAAGTCAGTTTTATTTTATTTTTAAGCTCATTGTTTGAGGCTTTAGTTTCAGAGATTACAGCCCTTTTGTGCAAATGATATTTCTTAATTTATGTCTGTGATAATTTGCTTATATTGCCTTAATTAAAACAGATATATTTTTGCTTTGAGTACACCAACAGAAAAGATATATAGATGGCTTACTAAATGGTGCAGTAGTTTGTATTATGCCTCATTTTGATTTGCTTTTGCTGATATCAATTTGCAAAAACAAAAATGTAGAACATATAGTAGGTCTTAAAATTCAGCTGTGCAGACTTAAACCTTTAAAAGTTTCAGCTACATAATGTATTAATTTAATTTCAAAATTTATAATTTTTCGTACAACAGCCTTTTAGAATCTTTCTGGTCTGTTATAGGGATCTCTCCTTATAAAACTGCTATAAAATCAAAATTGACAATATTCTCACTCAATATCTCTGTCTTTTGTAATGCCACTATAGAGATATGTATGATGCCTTGAAGATGTAACGCAACAAAAAAAGTATGCAAACACCATGAACCTTCACCCAACAACATCCTGGCAGGGTATTATTATAGATCATGTGTCATAATACAACTGATATAATAGATGTTATTTCACTGATAACAGGGTAGTTATATTATAAAAAATGTTATATGAAATTCATGAGATTTTGATATTGAAAGTAACTTTAGAGTTTAATGTTTTTGTATGAATGTCCTACTATCGCCTAGATACATAAATTATCTGTATATTTAAGGTATCTTAATTTGCTCAAAACCTCTGTGACAGAACTTCATTGAGCATTATTTAACTTTACTGTGTAATATCAAATCACATGAACTACATCTGTGTAACCCTGTCTGTCCAACTACTGGTTCAGAATAGTTAATTTATTCATCCAATGCTTCATTACAATGTGTGTTCAAATGATTGGTTAACAGTTTGATGTTCTCATTAAATGAGACCAATATAAAATTTGTCTTGTGTTGTTTGTTATGCAACAAGTTCCTTAATCTTGCTGCTGTAAATGGTCTAATAAACATTTCACTCTTGATTCTCAAAGTATAAATGGAGGAGACTATAGGTTTGTATCCAAGTTTGCACTATTTTATAATGAGAATATTGTGCATGTGAGTACTTCTCGTGATGGTTATGTTGTGAGAAATCAGGTTGGTGACTTTGTTAATGATTTTCCCTTCTTGGTCAGCCAATAAATGAGTTGTTTCTTGTAAGTGGTAAGGATCCAGATTATCCAGTATATAAATATGGGAGATTTGCTGTGTTTCATCAATAAAGACCTTCGTATATAGACCTCAGGTGTGGTATCTCTAACTGTCACCAGACCAATGATTTTCGTCAAAAGTAAGTAATGTCACATTCCCAAATGAGAACGAGGTATGCCACAGCCGAGCAAACAGTCCAACTAACCAGCATCGAACCCGTCCACAGATCACTATGACGACCATAACACTTCCTCAAAATTTTCATTAACCTGTATCTTTTGAAACCCTGTGTTACGAGTTAGTCCGTTAAGAGGCCCGTGAATATCAATCACCAGCAACATGTAACCACCATAGGACGAGATTCAGGATCAGTTTGTGCATACCATCGAACTGTCATCATATTTGTACTAATTATTTTGTTTGAAATATTTCCATTCAACATTAACAAATTATACTCGAAAATATAACTTTCTTATATAACTAAAAGTAAACTACCCTAGGGTCTTCAAATTCAAATTTTAGTAAAGCACCTTAAGACTTTTCTCTCCCCCAGTAAGTAGGAACCATATTATTTACAATTTTGATTCACCTACGGCCATGAAAGGTTTCTGCAAAATTCCACTGATATCAGTACAAGAGTTCTTTGGAGGGAATCAAAATGTTAAAAGTTTACAAAGTACAACACCAAACAAAAAGTGATCAGAATAGGTCACCATGAGACATCCGTGACCTAAAAATACTGATAGTCAACAATTCAACTAAGGAAAATATGAACAAAAGAAAGATTTACATGAAAACTCCTAAAATAGCTGAAGGAAAATAAGATCAGGTGTTCCAGAAGGGTAAGCATCTTCATCAACACAACATGGCTATCTAAATCTTGGTCAATCAAACTAAGTAATGTCAAGATTTTAATGTTTTTAATCTTTTTTGGTTATAATGGCCAGATTTCAATCCCAAGGGAGACAAGGAATACAAAACCAGGTACCAAGGAAAAACTTCAACAGAATATTCCAGGGAGAATACCTCACACCATATCAATGTATAAAGACACAAAACAAGACAAAATTTTAAAATAATTTATTACAGTTATAATGTAAACATAAGGTTGTTACATGATTCTTGAAACTACATACAAGTTACTGATTAAATTGTGAGATGTGACAGAGATGTGTAGAAACATATGCAATGACGTTGAGTGTTGATGGAGCAAATGGTAGTGTTATTACATCATGGTTCTCTGTTGTTACATCATGGTACTGTGTTGTTACATCAAAGTATCATGTTATTACATCATGGTACTGTGTTATTACATTATGGTACTGTGTTATTACATCATGGTACTGTGTTATTACATCATGGTACTGTGTTATTACATCATGGTACTGTGTTATTACATCATGGTACTGTGTTGTTATATCATGGTACTGTGTTGTTACATCAAGGTATCATGTTATTACATCATGGTACTGTGTTATTACATCATGGTACTGTGTTGTTATATCATGGTACTGTGTTGTTACATCAAAGTATCATGTTATTACATCATGGTACTGTGTTGTTATATCATGGTACTGTGTTATTACATCAAGGTACTGTGTTATTACATCATGGTACTGTGTTGTTATATCATGGTACTGTGTTATTACATCATGGTACTGTGTTATTACATCATGGTACTGTGTTATTACATCATGGTACTGTGTTATTACATCATGGTACTGGGTTATTACATCATGGTACTGTGTTATTACATCATGGTACTGTGTTGTTACATCATGGTACAGAGTTATTACCCCCATAATACAGTATTACAATATGGCATCATGTTGTTACATCCATGTACAGATTTTTACACCATTGTAAAGAATTATTATATAACTGTGTTGTGTTATTACATCAGAAAGTTTTAGGTGTACCAAATAGACTTGTGTCTTCCTGACAGATGTTTTTTATGTATACCGATGTTACAATAATACACAACACTGTAGTGCTACAGATTATAAGCAGTTAAACTGGCAAAGGCAGGGCTGATAGCATTTTGTATTGATAAAGACCGATATCATTGTATAGTGCTACAGGCTGATAACATTGTATAGTGTTACAGGCTGTATAGTGCTACAGGCTGGTAACATTGTATAGTGTTACAGGCTGTATAGTGTTACAGGCTGATAACATTGTATAGTGTTACAGACTGTATAGTGCTACAGGCTGGTAACATTGTATAGTGTTACAGGCTGTATAGTGTTACAGGCTGATAACATTGTATAGTGCTACAGGCTGTATAGTGTTACAGGCTGTATAGTGCTACAGGCTGATAACATTGTATAGTGCTACAGGCTGTATAGTGTTACAGGCTGATAACATTGTATAGTGCTACAGGCTGATAACATTGTATAGTGTTACAGGCTGTATAGTGTTACAGGCTGATAACATTGTATAGTGCTACAGGCTGTATAGTGTTACAGGCTGATAACATTGTATAGTGCTACAGGCTGATAACATTGTATAGTGTTACAGGCTGTATAGTGCTACAGGCTGATAACATTGTATAGTGCTACAGGCTGATAACATTGTATAGTGTTACAGGCTGTATAGTGCTACAGGCTGATAACATTGTATAGTGCTACAGGCTGTATAGTGTTACAGGCTGATAACATGGTATAGTGCTACAGGCTGTATAGTGCTACAGGCTGATAACATGGTATAGTGCTACAGGCTGATAACATTGTATAGTGCTACAGGCTGATAACATTGTATGGTTCTAGAGACTGATGGCTTGAGTGCTATAGGCTTATAAAGCATTTTACAGAGTAGGAAATACAAGTACATGTGTAAAGAAATATATTGCATAAACATTTGACACAAGCTTTGTAGATCAGTGGAAACAGATGGTAGGGTAGTGAAATCTAGTTTTTATGTTAAGTTGAACTTCTATTAAGAATTTAAATTGACAGCAAATGAGTTATCTGTGAACAAGATATGTGTGTATCAAGTTTGGAACTTGAATGCATCGCTAATATAACCTAGTTCACTGTACAACCGACAAGTTGTGGAATCAGCATGAATTCAGGAGATATTGTAGACCAACTGTTGAGACATGATGAAAATAGTTGCATATAAATATAGTATATAATGTATAACAAATTGATACATAATAGCTTCACCACTCAAAATACAATCTGCAACTTATAGTCGACACAGCAAGTCAGAAATAACACTCAGCGTAAAAAAATATCATAAAAATGTCGACAATAACGTCTGATTAACTTGAGACAAAACATGCATATTCAATAAAAACATGGCAACCAATTTTCTTCACCAATTTCACCAACAAGGATACACACCAGGCACAGCCATTCAGTGACATTCATAAAAAAGTCCACATTTTGCAAAAAAATAAACAATTTGGATGATCAATCAATGAAAAGACAAAAACTGCTGACATTTTATGTAAAACGAACCATTAAGAGATTGAATTATACCTACAGATCTTTAATCCGAGTTCCACATTAGATCGCTGGTCAAACCCAATCAAATTATCACACAAGACTCTGACTCCACCCCAAACTATCACATGACCTTATACCCTAATATCACATGACCTAATACCCTAACCAATCAAAATGTCCCACATGACCCCTGACACAAGCAAAATCAAAAGTTCATAGTTCATACAGCATTTCACATTCTAGACTGTATGATAAAGAAATGATACTTTCAAATTGTAATTTAAATATCCGTCTTCAGGTGAGGTCAGATATGTAAAAACTCAACATATTTCTCAAAATAAAAGAAATTAAAATCAATATGTTTCAAATACTAGGTAATAAATTTTGTAAAGATCTGAAGTAGAAAGTCCAACAATCTCAATAATTCTCTTATCAATGTTTTCTTTATTTCGTCTTATTTCCTAGTAAAACAGCTGTAGGTTGAGTACAAGAACAATTTGAACTTGTTTCAAGATATAGCATGAAAATCTAAACCAATATCATGATAGTAGCTGTGGGCAGTAAATAAGATGTCTGTTACATGTATATAATGAAGAGATGTCAGATCAATGTCTTTCCCAAGCTTTTGGAAATATCAATGACAAAATCTTTTTTCCTAGATGACATGATACTGTAATGGATTTGAGATACAATACAGAATACTGTGAAATCATAATTTTCATAGGGATTTATTTTCGTTGATTTTGTGGGTAGTCTCAATCGTCTTAATCCAGGAATTCAGATGTCCATTAAGTGATGTAATCAATTTTAGGTAGATTTATTGAGCTACATTTATGGACAAGATCACATGCCAATGAAAAAATGACTTTTTTGAAAACTACGATAATAGAACCCCATGAAAACCTATGAGTTTACTGTGGTTGGATTCTCTTTGTTGAATCTGGGTCAAAAGTTGTCAGGTAAAAGCAGAATTACATTCATTATTACATATAGATACATGTATGTTGGTATCATAGTTCAAACAAAGACATTATTAGTGATCAATGGGATGAAGGATTCCTATATAGAAAGCATATGATGATTTAATCCTTGACTGACAACAGAAACCACCACGGTGGTACAGGTTAACCATTACAGGCTTCATGTCCATGAGTACAGCCTTTCAGCAGACAAGTCCTGGCACCACCAGTAAAACGATTACTACAGCAACAGTTTCAAAACATTCTTTGTTCACATGTTTCACTTGAAATGAGGGGCTACAGAAGATTTCTGCATGTTTACATTCTAAGAAATAAGATTACTGATAATTTTGTGGTAGTATCACATATCAAATATCAAACAATCAAATCCAGAATCCATCGGATATAGTTTCCATCTGTATCAGACAAAAATTCAAAAAGGGACATTTTTCACCTTAGTTCAAATCATAAACAACAAATCACACGTTTTAAGTACAGAATCACACATTCCTTTTGCATACAATTTCTTTTTTCATTCTAATATACAGTTTATTTGGCTGGCCTAGCACTGCTACTATTCAGTCCTTTGATTATATGCGTATTTTCAGGAAATCACATAACTCAATATGGTTCCTAGAAAAAATGTTTTATACAGTATCACAAAATTCTGAAGATTTAATAAGCATCCCATTTAACAAATGTATACTGGTCCCATATGTTTAACCATGTATACATCCACACAAGGGATATCCTCTCCACATAGGCCTACAAACACTGTCCACATAGGTCAAATCTCGTCCACATAGGCCTACACACACTGTCCACACAGGACATATCTCCTCCACATAGGCCTACACATTGTCCCCACAGAACATTCACCTCCACATAGGCCTACACACATTGTCCACAGGACATATCTTGTCCACATAGGCCTACACACCGTCCACACAGGACATATCTCGTCCACATAGGCCTACACACACCGTCCACACAGGACATATCTCGTCCACATAGGCCTACACACCGTCCACACAGGACATATCTCGTCCACATAGGCCTACACACACCGTCCACACAGGACATATCTCGTCCACATAGGCCTACACACACCATCCACACAGGACATATCTCGTCCACATAGGCCTACACACCGTCCACACAGGACATATCTCGTCCACATAGGCCTACACACTGTCCACATCTCCTCCACATATGCCTACACACTGTCCCCATAGAACAATATCTAATATCCGCCTGGATTAGAGATTCAGCAACCTATGATATATCACGGTCAGTGTATCCATTGAGTTCACAGTATCTACGGGGCTCAAGTGTCACATTGTTTATGTATGGAAGATATGGATCATTCTGTCGATATACTAAGACAATGTTTGGCTCTGCCTGTCCAACTGTGTCAGTTATATACCTGGTAAGGCTATAAGCTTCTTGGTACTAGTTTTTGTCGCAATATAAAGTACACATATACACACCTGTCAAATGACACATACGTGGTCTGACATGCTTTTCATTCACCTGTGTTCTGACACACATGTGATCTGACTCACCTGTCCAATCACACATACCTGGTCTGATACACCTGAAGAATGACACACATGCTATCTGACACACCTGTCAAATGACACATACCTGGTCTGACACACCTGAAGAATGACACACATGTGGTCTCACACAACTGTTATCAAATGTACTGCAGTCCTACACTTGTCATCTGTAACAACTGCAGTGTGACAGATTTGTGGTTTAACACACCTGTGGTCTGTGAAAATGACACACCTGTTACATCTGACAATCCTATAGTTTCAGATACGATAGGTCAGACACACCTGCAGTCAGACACACCTGCTGTCAGACACACCTGCAGTCAGACACACCTGCAGTCAGACACACCTGTAGTCAGACACACCGGCAGTCAGACACACCGGCAGTCAGACACACCTGTAGTCAGACACACTGGCAGTCAGATACACCGGCAGTCAGACACACCTGTAGTCAGACACACCGGCAGTCAGACACACCTGTAGTCAGACACACTGGCAGTCAGACACACCGGCAGTCAGACACACCTGTAGTCAGACACACCTGCAGTCAGACACACCTGTAGTCAGACACACCGGCAGTCAGACACACCGGCAGTCAGACACACCTGTAGTCAGACACACCGGCAGTCAGACACACCGGCAGTCAGACACACTGGCAGTCAGACACACCTGTAGTCAGACACACCTGCAGTCAGACACACCTGTAGTCAGACACACCGGCAGTCAGAGACACCGGCAGTCAGACACACCTGTAGTCAGACACACCGGCAGTCAGACACACCGGCAGTCAGACACACCTGTAGTCAGACACACCGGCAGTCAGACACACCTGTAGTCAGACACACCGGCAGTCAGACACACCTGTCATTTGACACTCTTGATATATCTAGAGACTGACACCTCTAGAGTTCAATAACCTGGGGTATGTTCCTCACATTGGCAAAGAATCACATGCCAACTATTCCAGTTCAAGTTGGGTAATTCTTTTCCAGCTGGACATCACTGATGTATCACTATATAAGACATTAGCTGTTTCCAGGTTTGCATTCAGCAGGTGCCAGCCAGTCTGGAAGACTATGGAATTTTGGAATGGATTTCAGGACATTTTCCTCAATACTACAGTGAAAGCTGCTGTCATGATCGTTTAGAGTTATTTCCCTTCTTCCCGGTCTGTGAGTTGAATCGCTTGGCTTTATCTTCAGCTCTCCTGAAATTAATCAGATTTACCTCAATGCTTGAAGTTAAATATCTAATTCATATCAATGTTTGATGAAATGTCTTATTTATACTAGTTTGATACTAGTATCTCAGTCATCTCAATGTTTGAGAATAAGAATCTTATTCATCTCAGTGCTTGATGACCACAGCAGACTCATTCAAATAGCAATTAATCATTTGTATTTATCTCCACAATGCCTACTGTCAGAGTAAGACCGTAGTCATATCTTACATCAAAGTACATTTAATTGTGATTATGAATGAGACTGTGTCAGTAGTAAATTTTAACCTCCCACTGCAGACTGATAATTTTTATTTTCATTTGATTGACTGCTTAAAATTCATTTTAACAGCATAAGAAAGTAACAAAATTTCTAAAAACAAACATGACATGATTGATTTTCTACACCTTTTATAACATGACTTTACCTTGTAAGATCCTCAATATCCACCAACATGGAGTCTTGCCCCATGTGTAACTCATCACGTTCCATCAGAAGACGCACAAGATCCTCATTTAACTCTGTAAATTGAACACCGTGATGGTGAGTTTCACTCCAACACTTTGTAGCTCAAATGTATCCATATAAAATCAAAGTCAAGAATATTTTCCCCAGAAAATTATAGATGAAAGGTTGTCAAACTTAACATTACAGTTCATTGTCTCAGATCTGATCAAAGTCACTAAAGTGAACTAAATACCCATAGTTCCTAATTATTTTTATTCATATTGACAGTTCAGCAAAGTGTCCAAAGTGACGGACTTAATGTCGCTATGATTGACTGAAGGTCACTAACATATCCTTGATATTGCCTGGAGATTGCTGTCATTGAATTATGGACCTTGGTTGAGGACCCGAGAACATTACTCACTTTCTATCTGTGAATGAAGGTCGTTGACGAGAACCTGTAACTGCGCTAGATTCATCTCGTGTAAAGGTTTGTTACCCCAGGACATGATTTTGTCTCCCAGCAAAGGAAGACCAACCTGTTAAGTATAAAGGAAGACCAACCTGTTAAGTATAAAGGAAGACCAACTTGTTAAGTATAAAGGACATCATCAGCCCTACACTCTCTTAATAAATACAAAATGTGTGTTCAGTTTCCTAACCAATCAACATAATACATCTTTATATAAGATAAAACGATCATGTATTCAACTTCAGGAATTCACGCAGCATATCTAAACCCATTACAATTAATCTCTTACATTAAAGATATTCGTTTTTATATCAGTACAAATATAAACGGCTTTAAAGTTATTTAGGGTGTTAAATCATGAGGTTTAGATCATACAGTGAGTAACAATAAGAAGAGATTACACCATACCATCGAGGAGTTTGGAACATAAAACTTACAATGTCAGTTACCGGCGACTTTTTCTTCATCTGTTTCTCTACCTCCAGCTGCATATGTGCCATGGTACTTGCCTGTGGACAGATAAGCAAGGTGACTAGTGTTACAGCCTTCATTGATCTCCTCTCAACTTACATTACAACATGCATTAACTATCCTCAAATCTGAGGGAGTGTTCGAAAGAATGAAGTTTAAAATTGATGAAATATACTGACACGCAGAATGAATCACAACCGCTAAATGTTTGAAACAAATTCACTATTTCATTCAATTATGTCATTTAAGTTTTTCAACTAATCAAAGAATAATATTCATTTTACTGGATAACACATTCAATGTAGTGTTTAGTTATCACCAATGCAGCGAAACAGTCAAGGTTCAGGAGAGGGTAGTTATTAAAATTTCCCCAGTCTCACTAACGAGTAGGTCCCCCATTTGCATTCATTGTGGCTTGAATTCTGCGATGCATGGAGTTTATTAAACAGTTTATTTGTGTCATAAGGATGTTCTGCCATTCTTCCAGAAGTGCTTGGTGCAAAGCTGGTATTGTCTCCAGTGGTTTTTGGCGCCTTCTAATGAGACGATCTAACATGTCCCACACTTGCTCCTTTGGCAAAAGATCACAACTGTAAGGAGGCCAAGGTCATGTGTCTATGTTGTTTCGACTAAGAAAATCCATTGCCTGTCATGCTACATGGCACCTGGCATTGTTTTTTTGAAAGAGCAGGTTGTGTTTGTGAAGAAAGGGTATGACAACAGGTTGCAATACTGAGTCTATGAAATGTTGAGCTGTCAAATTGCCTTCAATGACTACCAAAGGGGTTTTGCAGCCACTACAGATACCACCCCACACCATAACACTACCACCACCAAATCTGTCGCATTCCACCATGCGACGTCCTCTGAGCGGTACAGTGTAAATCTTGACTCGTCAGAGAAAAGTACATGGTGCCATCTTTACATAGGAAATACATTTAATCTGTGTCGTTGCAACCACAGTAGTCTGATGTCACATTGATGTCAATTTAGTGGCATTCCAACAGCAACATGACAAGGCTTTTATGCCAAATGAGCGCAAGCGCCTTAAAACAGTGTCACAACTTATTCTTGGATTATGTATTTCTGGGGTTCAGATATCTGGAGGATGACCCAGAGGTTAAATACTTATAAAATGGTACACACCTATCGGTGCATGTGTAAATCGAGGTCTCGGGATTGTCTCGCGAACACGAGCACAGGAAGCATGATGGTGTTCAATCAATCGTGAATTTCAAAGGAAATGTGTATGGTGCAGTATGTTAAGATCACATACAATAATTCCAAATAGAAATTAAAATACTGACATCTAATTGGGGTTGTGTTTCTTTTGCGTGACAGAATATATCTTTTTATCAGTCATCAACAGATTAATTACTCAAAGATTACCTCTCACCTCCAAATGAATGAATTTTGTTCTCCAAAAGTAATCCAATAGTATGAAAACTTGTTTTTGGTTTGAAAAAACTTTTTATACAATGCATCAATATCAAGCTAACAAAACAAAAACAACCTAGACAATGTCTATATGACATAAATACCCTATACCTAATGATTTCATATTGTAGGACAAATATGAACCAAATATATTAAAACAATCCTAAGATGTAACACTGATTCAGAATGGAACACGACAGGACATACAGACAGACAGAGAAAACACTCATGCCCCCTCCTTCCCCCCAAAATGGTTGCAGCCTTAAAGAACTTCTGCTTTTTGCCAAGAACCCTAAAATTAGTATTTGTAAATCAAAGCTGATATGAGTGTAAAGGAAATTATGTGGGTTGTTCTTTTTTTGGGTATTTAGGATTTTTAAAAGTTTTTTCCCCTGGATTATTTCCATACCTGACAATCTATAAAGTGATTGGTGGGGTTTGACAACACTATCAATCAGACCACCTGACTGAGTGGTTTATTTTTTATTTGTGCTGCTGCGCTGTCCTCAACCACAACATCACATCCTCCCACGTATAAAGAGCACCATTAATGTTAGAGATCACTGTGTGGAATTGGTTCTGATCCATCACAATCATGTCTAAATCTGCTACCATTACAAGGCTTAGTATTACACCTCTCGTATGACTTACACTACAGTATGTATTTCATTGTTGCTGTTAACCTAGTTTCTACCTTCCAAAGTGTTTACTGATCAAACCTATCTCTTTCTTTGTCTTACAGTGATTAAAGTATTTAAGTCCTACTTACTGTCACTAATCTCACGTTCTCATATACAGCATTTAAAACAGTATAGAGTGAAAACCCCTGAACAATCGTTAGTGGCACCAGATCTCAACACTTTCCCCTGTTGATTTCCACAAATTTGCCTCATGTGATATATTCCAAGTTGTACACCTTCAGTGAAAGCCTCATGCTTCAAGCTTAGATTTTACATCAATGTGTCTTTGGCTGGTGAACAATTTCAATGGTTGCTATGGAAACTATGTCAGGCTAGCTAAACTTTTTAAATAAATCTCTAGAAGCTAATCAATAGTAAATCTGATATGAAATTGTACACCTGCGAAATCACTGAAGAATTCACATAGCATCACAATGCAAGCCTACACTTTCTGGTTTTTAAGAAAGTATTATAGATTATGTAATAAATATAAATGAAATTTCAGATTTTACAGGCGTGAGTGACATACATATTACATCTAGGTAGTCAGGACTTTTGGTCACATAATGTTGCATTCCTTTCTCTGATTTCTGCTTCAAAATCTTTTTCCCAATTCTGAAGTATTTTTCCCCTCAGATTTACAAGAGTTTCCGTTCCAAGTTCCTAATCCTTTTCATAAGGAGGAACATGCTAGTTGTATTGGTCCAGTGATGATGAAGCCAAATTCAGTTCAGTTCATCTCAAGTGCCCCCTTTTGTACATCTTCGTCCATGCACAGCCAAGGAAACAAAATAATATATGACTGTTGTGTTCCTATGGAGACAAGGACCAACCAAATAAGGGAATCAAACTTTAAAACACTTCTGTTTCTGTACAAAAAATGGAGATCCCCACATCTGAATTTGGTCTGAATTATCAGTAGAAGATATTGGCTCCTGATTGACTCTAGAGTGTTGGTTTGGAATATTTAAACTTGGCTAGAAGCGATGCTTGCACGAATTATATATTCATTGGTGTAAGCAGGGATTTATTGTAAATGATGATATGTGTTGAAGTCACAGTGATCTTGGATTTACCAGTCATTACCATATTTCACAGGCTGTAATTTCTGTTGAGGCCTACCCTATGAAGTAGTGATCAATGGCTTCAGTTACATCCGATTCCCCACAGAAACATGGTTCTCTACATAATTACCTAAGACTTATTACCTGACAAGGCTACAATCTACAGAACACACCAACATTACCATTTATACAACCAATCTATAGATGTTTCCACAAAATGGCCTATCTTCCTACAAATGGCTGTCATAAGATACTCAAGGCTGAATCTTCTACACAATATCCAATCATCCGTGACGTTCCAGCAAAGCGAAACCAATATATAACTTTACAGGACTTACAGGGATTAAGCAGATCCTATATCTGTCCTAACAGGACTGAATTTGGCCAGGACTAACAGGAATCAGATTTAACATCAAATTTGTTTCATTTTTATGTTAACTTTATGAAATGTATGTCATTTGTTCGTGGAATAGATCTAGAACAGAAATAGCATACGTCTTTGATGTTCGTGAACTTTATCATTAGGACTGAAGTTCACAACCTGCTTTAAGAAACTGTTTGTGAACAGTTCATGAACTTATGGGAAGATTCCTGGCTTAAATTAAAAATCTCTTGCTCTTCATTATATTCTGAACTAGTTCACGAAAAAGCTGATAAAATAGCAATTCTAACTTTTGAAATCTTTTTTGAAGTCTGTTTGATAAATGTTCTAGAACATTCCTTGAAGGAATGAAACATTTTTATATAAAGAAAGTTTTGTATTAATTTGGTTGGCACTACATTACTCCATTTATGTTGAAATTCCTCTAAAGGGCTATCACTTGTGTCTTTTGTATAAACGTTTGTCTCGTATATAGAGAAATACATACTTGTGCCAGTGCAATTTTTGCTTCCCGTTGTAGTCGGGCCTGTTTCTTGAAAAAATCTTCATCCCCTGCTTGTCTGGCACCAGGTGGCCCACACTTGCCCGTCTTGTCAGCGGCCAAGGACATTTTGTTGTTGGATAAGTCTGGCGTAATTCCAGCAGCTTCGGAGGTCTTTACATCTGTTGTATCTACTTTACTCAATTCAGACTGTAAACACAAGAAAGATACATCAGACTTACCATTTCTGGTATCATACAGATAGGTGTTACAAGGGAAAATAATTCTTAATAGACTTCACTTCCTATTATAAAACAATTTCAACTCTAAACATTGAGATGAAAATGAATAATACTGGGCAGCCCAAAGAAAGACGAAGAGAATTGATACCAAAGAGCTAATTTCTCTGGTTTATCATTAACTTTTTATGTTTAAATTTGGTGAGTTGATCAAGCCAGGGAATTCTTCCTAATGAAATGATCCATCAACTCTGTCGTACAATAAGCTCACGTCTCTCTAAGGACAGACGTTCCATCTATTTAAATAGGAACTGCAGGCGAATGGTACATCAGATTAGCTGAGGAAATAAGTTGTATACCCTATAGCATCAGCACATCACGTTGGCCATGGATCACATGTCTTCTCTTACAGACACCTTTGGCTGCTCACCAAAATGACCATTTACCATTTCACAAATGGATACCTGTTTCTCCGATAGTTTGTACACAAATAACACTATTGTGCCATTATTAGTGGGTGATATTTAATCCCCGAGGCATCAATTAATCATCACAACCGTTGTTAATCAAGACAAACAAGGGCCGTCAGAGACAGATTATGCTCCCCAAATGGGACAAAGTTTAAGAATGACTTTAAAATAACAGAGGGCGTAAGAGAGTTATGATTCTTGTGCACTGCCCTCTTTCTCAACAATATCTATCTATCTATTAAGTTTCTTGTTGTTTCCTCTTACAGTTTTAGTGTACTGTTCCAGACAAAATTTTAATTATGAAAAACAACAAAGGGCAATAACTCCTAAATTATGCAACTTATAGTACTAACAATGATACCAGCTTATAGTACTTACAATGATACCAGCTTATAGTACTAACAATAATACCAACTTATAGTACTAACAATTATACCAGCTAACAATTGTAACAATGATACCAGCTAATAGTACTAACAATTATACCAACTTATAGTACAAACAATGATACCAGCTTCTAGAACTAACAATTATACCAGCTTCTAGTACTAACAATTATACCAACTTATAGTACTAACAATGATACCAGCTTATAGTACTAACAATGATACCAACTTAAAGTACTAACAATGATACCAGCTTATAGTACTAACAATGATACCAGCTTATAGTACTAACAATGATACCAGCTAATAGTACTACCAATGATACCAACTTTAAGTACTAACAATGATACCAACTTTAAGTACTAACAATTATACTAGCTTCTAGTACTAACAACTATACCAACTTATAGTACTAACAATGATACCAGCTTATAGTACCAAAAATGATACCAGCTCATAGTACTACCAATGATACCAGCTAATAGTTCTAACAATTATACCAACTTTAAGTACTACCAATGATACCAACTTATAGTAGTAACAATTATTCCAGCTTCTAGTACTGACAATGATACCATGTTCTGGTACCTATGGAATATTGAAAATATATTCACAACTCTCATATAAATTAGTCCTATGCAGATTTGTTATTTTTAGCACAGGGAACATTTGTATAAATCATGATGCTTGACCTTTTAAACAGCAAGCACAGCAGATTATCAAGATACAAAGGACAGAACACACTGTCACATGATAGAAATGTCATTAAGTATTGCTTTGTCAGCACATGCATCATAATCATGTCAAAGCCTTTGGAATTTACGATCTTATAACTACAATTATATCTTTGGAATTTACAATCTTATAGTTGTGATATTCTGCATTTACCATCAACTGGCACAACCTATTAACTTTGAAAATGACATTGAAAACTTGACCTTTGACAAATTTTACCAATTTGACTGATCAGTAGGAGTCTTCATCAAATGTCGTTTTTTTTCAAACCTCAAATTTTGCTATGACTTCTTGAACGACTTTGACCCTTGTTTAGGAATGAAAATCCAAACAATTTACAATCTTATTAATTGGGCTTGAAAGTCACGGTCATATTTTTTTGTGATTAAGCACATTAATACAGAAATGCAGACTTGCAGACTAACTTCCTTTAAAGAAGAATCTAAAATTACATCAACTGAAAATAAAAACATTATGATTGGTAAAGTCTTGATGCAAAAAGTAAAACCTGAAAGATATTTTAGAAGGACAAGAAAATGTTAAATATCACATTCCAAAATGCTTCTTTAAATTTCGATGATCAAATAGGGAAGCCAGCAGAATCAGAGATAAGTACAAAATGACAGGTCTTCAATTTGACCAATACTTTTGAGTATATCTCTATCATCATTATAAAACAGAAGCCTTAATGATTATAAAAAAGTTTAGTAAATTTGACTGGTGAAATCTGAAAAACTAATGGGACATTCCACAGAAAATAAGAAATAAAATATTTAAAGAATTATGTTATCATTTGAAGATTTCAGAATATGTTACATCTATGTGGTAATTAATTTCATGAGCACACTAACAAACCAATAGAATGATGACTTAAGGATGCCATGTTCTCACACACGGCTATCCTGACTGTACAGTTAATGGCAGGAAGGATTACAGGTATAAAGAATCTGTTAGCTAAAAATCATGCAATTCATTCTGAAGGAATCGCTAGAATGATATTTTAGTATGACTAAGCAAGACAGTTAAATCATAACCACCTTTCAAGAATTTCTCGCCAACGAAATAATTTTATCAAAAATGCACTGACCATGCAAATTCAATCCTTATGGAGTATAATTTCAACCTTCTATCCCCATCAGAAAATGTCAAGTCAATGCCCACACATGGTTTAAACAAATGATTAAAGACAGCATGCTATTGTGTGACCTATATGCTTTGATCACACTGAAAAAAATATGGTATTCTCACCTTATTTCGAAAAAATTTGGAAAGTTTTGAAGAAATCTGTTAAAAAATGTGTACTACATGTTATTTATTCACAAAATAGTGTTCTACAAAACAACATGGCGTGAGGGTTAGAACCAGAATTATCTAATAAGCCCGTGCCTTGTAATACGTTTCTCTGTATCTTATGCTGTTCATTAGAATTTCTGACGAAGATTAATCGTGCTGTATAATAATTGTCTAACAAGTGGTCAACCTCTGGCATTTTGTGAGATAATTCCTCAGTCAACCCTTGGCCAGTTTGTGAGAGAATTTCTTAGTCAACCCTTTACATTCTGTGAGAGAACATCTCGGTCAACCCCTCTGCTTATTACAGGATAAGATTGGTAATGATATGTGTTTTGTATATAGCTTTAAATACTTAATCATTTTACCGAGTCAGACATGAAACCCACTAGATATAACAGGTTACCTTAAAACCTGTCATTGCACTGTCCAGTCTCATTAAGCCTTTTTTCAAGCTAAATAGAAAAACTTGCATGTGTCAAGATTATGTCCTAAATCAAGTTCTCTGACCATGTCGGTTATGAAAATTTGTATATGAATGATAACCTTATTTCTCTTTGTATCATACCCAGCCATGGTCAGAGTGTGATAAACCAGCCCCTAGAACCAAACCTGATTTAATAAAATGGACAAGGAAAACTTTCTATTAAACAGAGAAAGGTCACAAATCAACACTGACTTACTTAAGATGAACAGACACAGCAAAAAAAAAAAAATAGAAAAAAATATCATTCAAACATTTTCAAAAGAGATCAATCATTGCAATAAAATATTCAGCTACCTGATATAAATATTAAATATGATGATTTTTCATCGCTTCCAGTCAATTGTGACGTAATTTCTAATGCAGAATGAAATAAACGCAAAATAAGACAAAAGCGTCTTTAGTGAAAACCTACCGATGCTAGTACACAGGTTCCGTATCCCATAGAACTGACAAACTTAACTATAACTGCCACTCCATTACCACTTCAGTGTCCCACCAGGAATATCAGCTTATTAAAAATGAATAATTAACAGACATACCGTAAATCAAACCATGATAAAACCAGGAGCATGCAGTCACCAGTATCATTGCAGACGCTCTCCAACAAACAAGGAAGAAATGACTGGCATAAGCAGAGTACTGGCTAGCAACTACAGACGCTTGTGTATTGATCATAGTGTGACTAACCAAGGACGAGATAGCTGGGCCCTACCCATACCTGGATGTTCAGTGCATCTATTATGTACCAAGGGAGGCAGCTACGGGACCCTGTGTTTGCTCATCACTTGAACCAATGCTCTTCGGATACTTGGTCAAAGCTGGGGCTAGGCCTAGATGTGTCACTTCCATTGCATGCATAGGGAGCTACGTTACAGACCCTGTTCCTGACAGTGTTTATATTTACAATATTCAAGGAACCAGTAACAGGAATCCATCTATACTTTTGAGCTATATTAGTGTTTAAGGAAAGAACAAAGGGTCATGAATCTGAATCTAGATAAGTGAAAAAATTGAGTACTGTTCTTTCTCTGTCCCATTGGAAATATAAAATTCAGCAGTAGAGACAGAGTGTGAGATATCTCAGAACAAAGTGAAAAGTATAGTATAACTCTTGACTAGTCTTGCCATTACTTGTGATGAAAACAAAGGGCCATAACTCTTTATTTAGTAAACAATAAGATTTCAGTATGGTTGTGATACTTCACTATCTACAGGGGAACTCTGAATGTTCAAAATTAAAGAATTCCAGGTAAAACGTTGAATATTTCTACATTTATTGGTCCAATATACCCAAACTTGAAAATTGATAAAAAAAATCATCAAGTACAAAGTGAAATGAAAAATATATACTGTATGATTCCCATGTCCTTCCCTGTCAGCACTGGGATTTGATAAAAAAAAAAGAACTATATACAGTGGTGATTTATTCAACACCAAATTTATTTACATCAAGGTTGTATCTTTCAAGGGGAGATAACCCAGTATATACTGACCTTTTCCTCCTGTAAAAGTTCAGATTTTTGCGGTGAAGACTTAATGGGGTCAGGCTCTTCCCCTGGAGATTCGTTCATAAAACAAATCTGTAGATTCATACCACTCTGGAGCCTTTTGGAAAGGTTGGGTTTTTTATACGACCTCTCCCCACCATAGTAGTCCTCCTCCAAGCCTCCCATGGCCAGCTTCCGACGGATCTCCTCACGGTCATTACGTTGTGACTGAAATTACAAAAGCACACATGATGCAGACACAAAAAACATTGCATGATTGAGATAGATTAGGAAGCTGCACTGGCAGATTACTATGGATTGGTTACAGCTTAATCAGGACAGAATTATGAACGGGATTTACAATGCAATAACGGCTCTTACCAGGTATTCTTTTATATGATAATGCAGGATTGTTTTTAAAAACCATTCTCAAAGTTTTTTAAAAAAAGCTCTTTCCCACCCACACATATTACAAGCAATCATTTCAAAGCTGATGCAACATGACAGCCTTCAGTGAATCTAAGTAGAGGCTCTGTATGTTGTCACCACGTATGGGAATCGATATGTCTCATACTAGACTTGAAACATTAATCATTTATCCTAAGTAAACATTTATCAATTAATGGACAACACAAAAGACAAAATGCTTTAGTTGTACATGTAATATATATCTCGTATAATATCTGCCCCTCCTACATGCCAATGGCACCAATGGTGAACCCACCAGCCAGACAGGATAACTGGCGGTAACATTCACAGTAATTGTGATCAAGTTAGCACAGCTTCTGCTGTACAAATCTCTGGAAATTTGAAAATCAATATTTATACTAGAAATCTAACAAAACAAACGCAGCTATATTTATTTTCAAAAAAGTTGTGAGACTTGAGTCAGAAGTAACTCATTCCATGGTTACTGGAGACTCGAGTCAGTAGTTACTCATTCCATGGTTACTGGAGACTCGAGTCAGTAGTAACTCATTCCATGGTTACTGGAGACTCGAGTCAGTAGTAACTCAATCCATGGTTACTGGAGACTCGAGTCAGTAGTAACTCAATCCATGGTTACTGGAGACTCAAGTCAGTAGTAACTCATTCCATGGTTACTCAGTCAGAAGTAACCCAGTTAGGTTAGTGACTCAAGATATAATATAATGCCCACATTTTCCTGCACATTCATTAGTATCAATATCTGACAATATGATATATTAATAGTACCTGTGACAGTTAACTAGAAATGTGTCTGCCATTGTTTATTTGTATAAAGTATTATCTAAAACTCTAAAGAGAGGAAGTTGCTAGAGTGATGATGGTGACTAGAGACAAGGACAGGACAAAGAAAGGGACAGGAACACCATTTCATCATTTGCCAAATTTAAAAAATGACTGAATCAAAACCATCTTTCCTGTTTTTAATAATAAAAAATCTGGTTGAAATCTGTTTATCTTTATATAAGGAAGAGAGTTTAATTACATTTCTCCACTTGTGACCAACAGTTAGTCACTCTCAATATTTCTACAATATTTTGGTTTTGAGTGTGTGACATGGATATTACAGGTTTTGTCTTGGTATTTCTGCTGTTCCATTCCATATTGAACTGGAGTCAACCATATTGATATGCTGAGGTTGTATCACTAGGTAATGGTTGTGTAAATCAAACCTCACTCTCTGACTTGTCAGTTGTATATGTCTGCATGCTGGATCCTTATTGATTAGAGAAGTGCTGACATAGGAGGTAAAGAAAATGTTTGTCTCCCTGGAACGATTTGTAAAACTGAGAATATTTGGCCTGGATATTGGCAGAGGAGGACCCTCTTATTTCTCTGGGTAATTTGCTATAAGAGACAGCATCACTACTTAAATAGATTTTTTTTTCTGTTCTGTCTGCCAGTCTGAACTTTAAAGGCAGAATCTATAAGGAACCAAATAATACATCACTCCACTAGGTACTATAACCCTCCAGGAGGTTTCAACCCATCGTTAGTATACAGATGTTATACTGGTGGGGGTTAGGTACAATCCATCCGCATCAAGAACCAATCAGAATCAATCTTGTTAGTCTTACAAATCTAGTCAAGTCTTTTATCAAACAGTTATAGTGATAACAGGAACCATCACTTTTCTCCACAGTAACTGACTGGTTATCTTCTGAATGAGTTATCTCCCCTGGACTGGTCATATCTACAATATTTACTCCATGTTACCATATCATCATACTATTTTTCCAGTTAATAAATTTTCAAAGTGTATGAAGGTTGAAAAAATACAATTACCCATACATTCCAATAATTTATTGGCACAAAGAAAATGTGTCTTTTTTTTTAAAATTCCCTTCAATTAATGATAATTAAATACCAACCTTTCAGTATTGTAGCATTTTATAGTGACACAATATTAAATGTGGTATTCAAATTAATATTTCAATACTGAAGTACCAGAACTAACAAAATACATGTTGCATATATTTCCCGATATAAATTGGACATATTTTCTACATTTTTATCACTACCCCAGTAAAGGCAAGGATGACATTCTTTGTTCATTCATATTTCTCCATCACTGATTTGGTATCTATCATGTCTCCCACAAAAAAAAATAAAATACAAAATTAGAAGAAAAATAAAAAAAAAATTTTTTTTTAAAAATCATATATATATGATATAACAATGATACAGTAACACATATGTTCACATATTTGAATTTGAAATTTCACCAAAAAAATATTCAATGTAGATTGAAGTGACTATGAGTAAATATCACGACTATGTATATAACTATAGTGTACAGCTCACACTATCTTATATCTCTACCTATTAATTAACTTTCATAGATCAGGAATGGCTACAGTTATGCTGTTGACAGGTTCGTTTTGAGCTTTTGATTTCTGTCACTTCCAAGTTGGTAATTTAAGTACTGTAAAAAAATTTTTTTAAATGTTTAAAATTTTTACAGTTTTACCAAAAGGAGTTTATTTCCAGAGTGATGAAACGCAATAGATTTTTCATCAATTGTATTTTAGAGATACTTTTACAAAATTGTATTTTGTCCTCTGTTCTGTGCAAAATATTATTTCAATTTTGAAATCTCCACTTGATTAATACTGTATGTAAAATGCACCCTTTCAAAACTGAAGTTACTATTAGTAACGATAAAGGCTTTATGAAATAAATAAAACAACCTTGAAATCCTGAAACATGAACCTGCTAGAGATATTCTCTTACTTTAACAGTGATTAAAATTCAAATTAAAGCCATACAGAAATTGGGTTTCTCCACCAGACTGCATAAATACAAATAAAACATAATGTCCTCCCACATCAACAACCATCTTACTACATTCAACAAGAAAGCCATTAATGTAATTGGATACATGTAAACTATAGCCTTGTGGCCCAAGTTCATCATTCAAAATAAAAATATGATACTGGTTATTCTTTAAACCATATCAAAAGTGCTTAAATGCTACCCATAATCATTTACAGTTAAATTGCGTCTATGAGCTTTGATTTTTAAATGATACCCAAGATCATTGACAGTTAAATTGCGTCTATGAGCGTTGATTTTTAAATGATACCCATGATCATTGACAGTTAAATTGCGTCTATGAGCGTTGATTTTTAAATTCTGCCCGTGATCATTGACAATTAATTGCATCCATGAGTGTTGAAGGTTACATAGCCATTTTTCTAATGAAGTGACAATGAAGTGACCATTTCCATTTGACAAATCATACCGAAAACAACAATACAAACATTTCACAGTCAGTTATCCCTAGATCCCGATATAACAGCACAAATACATTAGAGAAACTATGAAATTCACATGTCAGACAAGCATTTTTGCTTGGTTGTATTGAAAGTAAAGATATATGAAACTGTGGTCCTGTTCAAGTTTAACCTCTACTTGTTTCAAATCCTTGAAATCTGACCCCCACTTGTTTCAAATCTTTGAACTTTGACCCCCACTTGTTTCAAATCCTTGAAATCTGACCCCAACTTATTTCAAATCCTTGAAATCTGACCCCACTTGTTTCAAATCTTTGAACTCTGACCCCCACTTGTTTCAAATCCTTGAAATCTGACCCCAACTTGTTTCAAATCCTTGAAATCTGACCCCCACTTGTTTCAAATCCTTGAAATCTGACCCCTACTTGTTTCAAATCCTTGAAATTTGACCCCCACTTGTTTCAAATCCTTGAAATCTTACCCCTACTTGTTTCAAATCCTTGAAATCTGACCCCTACTTGTTTCAAATCCTTAAAATCTGACACCTACTTATTTCAAGCCTTGAACACAGATCCCTACTTGTTACAAACCCTTGACATCTGACCCCCTAACTCCCACTTGTTTCAAACTCCTTGAAATCTGACCCCTACTTATTTCAAGTCCTTGAAATCTGACCCCTACTTATTTCAAGTCCTTGAAATCTGACCCCTAACCCCTACTTGTTTCAAACCATGTTTAAATATGACTCATATTTGTTTCAAGTCCTTGAAATCTGACCCCTGCTTGTTTTAAGTTAAGCTGAAATATGACTCCTACTTCAATTTAGGACTGAAATCTATCCCACCTATTCATCCCTGTCCTGTACATTAAGTGCTGAAATCTTATATCCCTAACCTAGCTGATGTCACATGACTACACACAACAAAATTCTAGTTGATCTGGTATATTAAGGAACTTTTTAGAAAAACTTTGAACCTTCTCTAAAAGGAACCTCTGTCTTCCAAAATGAATGTTTTTCTTTTCTCTTCTTAAAAAATTTGTTCCCATACAATGAAGATTGAAATGAGATTGATTATAGATATAACACAGCAGTTCAATTTCTAATGAATTATTTAAAACATTGTTTTCAAAACATACTATTTCTCATTACCGAACACCAATATATTATGTGACCCAGTTCCTTTTTCCGTACGATCATGAAATATTGCACGTCATTTCCGTAGAGACAAGTGACAGATGATAAAACAAAATGTATCCCTACCGATGAGGATGATGCTGTGCTGTCAATCAATGAGGTCGGTCGACAGATCCCAGAGCTCTTCGTTTGATGACTGAAGCTTAACACACTAAAATCCCTGTCAGAGAAATCGAGATTGAGTGGTTCAACATCTTCAGTATTGTCACTTGTCATGATCCAGAATCCACTGCTGACATTTCCCACGAAACCTTCTTCAGGTTGTAGTACTGTCATTGTAAGTTACATACCAACTCTCCGAACCTTTACTT